GGCGCCGCCGCGCGCGCGGCGGCGCAGGGGCGTGGGGCGCTCAGTGTTATCAGCAGTAGAAGAAGCGCCATGTTGGCCTGGAGAATCAAAGTGGACCACTAGCGGTTGCCGATTGGATTTCCAAGTCAACATGGGTTCTGGTGTACGTGTCTTGCAACGGCGTATACAACAACCCCTCGCGCGCGCCCGCGCCGCCGCGCGCGCGGCGGCGCCGCCGCGCGCGCGGCGGCGCGTGCGCGTGGGGCGCCCCGCGTTATCAGCAATAGAAAAGTTGCCATGTTGGCCTGGGAAATCAAAGTGAACCCTTAGTGGTTGCCGATTGGATTTCGAAGTTAACATGGGTTTTGGTGCATGTGTTCTACAACAGCGCAGACAAACACTCCTCGCGCGCGCCTGCGCCGCCGCGCGCGCGGCGGCGTGTGCGCGTGCGGAGCTTCGCGTTATCGGCAATAGAAGAGTCGCCATGTTGGCCTGGAAAATCAAAGTGAACCCTTAGCGGTTGCCACTTGGATTTCCAAGTTAACATGGTTTCTGGTGCATGTCTTCTGCAACAGCGCGCGCAAAACTCCTCGCGCGTTCCTGCGCCGCCGCGCGCGCGGCGGCGCGCGCGCGCGCGAGAAACGCCGCAGCGCCAGCAATAGGACAGTTGCCGCGTTGACTGGGAAATTCAAAGGGAGCCCTTGGAAGTGAGCAGTTTGATTTCCAAGTTAACATGGGTTTTGGTGCATGTATTCTGCAGCGGCGCATGCAAACACTTCTCGCGCGCGCCTGCGCCGCCGCGCGCGCGGCGGCGCAGGGGCGTGGGGCGCTCAGTGTTATCAGCAGTAGAAGAAGCGCCATGTTGGCCTGGAGAATCAAAGTGGACCACTAGCGGTTGCCGATTGGATTTCCAAGTCAACATGGGTTCTGGTGCACGTGTCTTGCAACGGCGCATACAACGACCCCTCGCGCGGGGGGCGCCCCGCGTTATCAGCAATAGAAAAGTTGCCATGTTGGCCTGGGAAATCAAAGTGAACCCTAGTGGTTGCCGATTGGATTTCGAAGTTAACATGGGTTTTGGTGCATGTGTTCTACAACAGCGCAGACAAACACTCCTCGCGCGCGCCTGCGCCGCCGCGCGCGCGGCGGCGTGTGCGCGTGCGGAGCTTCGCGTTATCGGCAATAGAAGAGTCGCCATGTTGGCCTGGAAAATCAAAGTGAACCCTTAGCGGTTGCCACTTGGATTTCCAAGTTAACATGGTTTCTGGTGCATGTCTTCTGCAACAGCGCGCGCAAAACTTCTCGCGCGTTCCTGCGCCGCCGCGCGCGCGGCGGCGCGCGCGCGCGAGAAACGCCGCAGCGCCAGCAATAGGACAGTTGCCGCGTTGACTGGGGAATTCAAAGGGAGCCCTTGGAAGTGGGCAGTTTGATTTCCAAGTTAACATGGGTTTTGGTGCATGTGTTCTGCAGCGGCGCATGCAAACACTTCTCGCGCGCGCCTGCGCCGCCGCGCGCGCGGCGGCGCAGGGGCGTGGGGCGCTCAGTGTTATCAGCAGTAGAAGAAGCGCCATGTTGGCCTGGAGAATCAAAGTGGACCACTAGCGGTTGCCGATTGGATTTCCAAGTCAACATGGGTTCTGGTGTACGTGTCTTGCAACGGCGTATACAACAACCCCTCGCGCGCGCCCGCGCCGCCGCGCGCGCGGCGGCGCCGCCGCGCGCGCGGCGGCGCGTGCGCGTGGGGCGCCCCGCGTTATCAGCAATAGAAAAGTTGCCATGTTGGCCTGGGAAATCAAAGTGAACCCTTAGTGGTTGCCGATTGGATTTCGAAGTTAACATGGGTTTTGGTGCATGTGTTCTACAACAGCGCAGACAAACACTCCTCGCGCGCGCCTGCGCCGCCGCGCGCGCGGCGGCGTGTGCGCGTGCGGAGCTTCGCGTTATCGGCAATAGAAGAGTCGCCATGTTGGCCTGGAACACATGCACCCAAACCCATGAGTTGCGCCGCTGCAAAACCGAGAGTTGTTGGGGGCGCCGCGGGCCTGGGGCGAGAGCTCGCGCGCGTGCATGAGTGCCAGGGCGTGAGACGTGGCGCTGAGGCCCACTGCTAGAGCCCTAAGCTGGCCGCAGGCCTCGCGCGTCCGCGGCGTGGGCAGGACCCTCCATGTTCTTCGGTCTCGGTGTCAATGTGTCGCCTCCAGCAGCCGCGCGCTCGTGGATGACGGCGGCGTGGAGACGCACACCCTCGCATGTTCTTGTTTTGGGGCAACAGCAGCCTGGAGCTGGGCCTAGGGTGGCGGGGGCCAGGCCGCGCGGCCGCGGCCTTGAGTCTGGGGCGAGCAGGCGAGGTCGCGCGAGGCTCCCTGGGGCGCCGCGGGGTTGGGGCGAGAGCTCGCGCGCGTGCATGAGTGCCAGGGCGTGAGACGTGGCGCTGAGGCCCACTGCTAGAGCCCGACTAAGCTGGTCGCAGGCCTCGCGCGTCCGCGGCGCGGGCAAGACCCTCCATGTTCTTCGGTCTCGATGTCAACGTGCTGCCTCCAGCAACCGCGCGCTCGTGGATGACGACGGACGCGCGGAGGCAGATCCAAGGCACAGGAACACAGCGTGGGTCTCGGGGGGCGGGGGGGGGGGTCAGGGCTTCGGGGTTGCGTGGTCCAGGCTGCGCAGTCGAAGGCTTTAGGCTGGGGGCTGAACCAGATGCGTACTTACGCACGTTGGCTCGGAAGTGAAGGTCGGGGACACCTCGGAAGGGCGTCCTCGACGTCCTTATGGTTTGGGGTACTTTGGCCCGCGGAGGGTCTCATGTTCTTGTCCGATGTTCTTGTGGCCTTGTTCCGGCCGTATATCCACACAAGGATGTTCCCATCTTCCGATCAGAGAATGAATTTTTACATTGGGTTTTCGCCATTGGGTTTTGGAAATCAAATTTCGCTCCGTTAGGTGAGTAATCTACCAGCGGCATGCAGCCGCCGCGCGCGCGCGCGAAATTTCGCCCTGTTGTATAAGATCTATCAGCGGCATGCCGCCGCCGCGCGCGCGCGCCTTGGCGCTTGGCAATTTTTGCATTCAGTGTCGCATATCCACATGGCGATGTTCCCGTCTTCCGATCAGAGAATGATTTTTTACATTGGGTTTTCGCCATTGGGTGTTGGAGATCAAATTTCGCCCCGTTGTATAAAGTTTATCAGCGGCACGCCGCCGCCGCGCGCGCGCGAGTCTTCGCCCCGGTGCATAGAAGCCCATCAGCGGCATGCCGCCGCCGCGCGCGCGCAGGCGCTTGGCATTCTTGCATTCAGTGTCGCATATCCACATTGGGATGTCCCCGTCTTCCGATCAGAGAATGATTTTTTACATTGGGTTTTCGCCATTGGGTTTTGGGGTTCAACATGGCTCCCGTTGTATAAAGTCTATCAACGGAATGCCGCCGTCGCGCGCGCGCTGGCGCTTGGCAGTTTTGCAGTAAGTGTCGTATATCCACATGGGGGCGTTCCCGTCTTCCGATCAGAGAATGGATTTCTGCATTGGGTTTTCGCCATTGGATTTTGGAGTGCAACATCGCTCCCATTGTATAAAACCTTTCAGCGGCATGCCGCTGCCGCGCGCGCGCGCGCGCGCGCGCGCGATTGGCATTTGCGCATTCAGTGTCGCGCATCCAAATGAAGGATCCCCCCGTCTTCCGATCAGAGAATGAATTTTTACATTCGGTTTCCGCCATCTGGTTTTTGGAGTTCAACATGGCCCCCGTTGCATAGAAATCTATCAGCGGCGCGCCGCCGCCGCCGCCGCCGCCCGCGCGCGCGCGCGCGCGCGCGCGCGCGCGCGCGCGCGCGTCGGCGATTGGCATTTGTCATTTGTGCATTCAGTGTCGTATATCCACATGGGGATGTCCCCGTCTTCCGATCAGAGAATGCATTTTTACGTTGGGTTTTCGCCATTAGGTTTTGGAGTTCAACATGGCTCCCGTTGTATAAAGTCGATCAACGGCATGCCGCCGCCGCGCGCGCGCTCCATGGCGCTTGGCAGTTGTGCATCCGGTGATATCCACATGGTGGTGTTCCCGTTTTCCGATCAGAGAATGAATTTTTACATTGGGTTTTCGCCATTGGGTTTTGGAAATCAAATTTCGTCCCGTTCTCTTAAAGTAATTAGCGGCGCGCCGCCGCCGCGCGCGCGCGAGTCTCCGTCCCGCTGTATAGAAACCTATCAGCGGCATGCCGCCGCCGCGCGCGCGTTGGCGCTTGGCATTTGTTGCATGCAGCGTCGTCTTTCCACATTGGGCCATTGGGGTGTTCCCGTCTTCTGATCTGAGAATGAATTTTCACATTGGGTTTTTGCCATTGGGTTTGAAGTTCAACAGCGCTCCCGCTGTATCAAATCTATGAGCGGCATGCCGCATTTGCACATTCAGTGCCGCTTCGCAACCCAGACCGAGCGCGGTGCGCAGGGAGTGGTCCCTGAGCGCAGTCTCTAACGACGCTGGGGCCGCAGGGCGTGGCAGGCGTGGCCTGGCGCCAAGAGGGGCGCGCAGGAATCTGACTCTGCGCGCAGGGCGCCAGGGCGGTCGCGGGGGCGTCTCCAGCGACCCAGTTTGCCCCGCTTCCCTTTTGTTTTCTATGGGCGCACTACAGCGCTGGGGAAAACCATGTTTTAATCGTCTCCCCCAAATAATTTAAAACCGTTTTTATACATTAAGTTTCAAAACGACTCCAGAATTCAAACGGTTGCCGGCACTTTGGCGCGACCTTCTTTTTTTGTTTTTTTCTTTTTTCTTTTTCTGGTGCCGCCGCCGGCGCCGGCGATCCGACCCCGCGCCTTCCCCCGCCGAAACATCCGTCCTCTCCAGCTATGTTCCTACTCTGATGTGCGGTAACTCTTTTTATCCCGCTTCCGATTCTTGTTCTTCTTCCGATTAGTGTGCGAGTTTGTGTGCTGATGGCTGATGGGGCGCCCGCCTCCGCCGAGGGATGGACGCCAATTGGGCCGTTGGGCCCGCCTGCCCATTTGGCGCATTTCGATGTCAGACACAGCAGCGCGATAGGCAGGCTCATGATGGGGAACTCACGCTTGCGCAGCACGCAACCCGTCCTCGCCAATCTCCGCGACCCGCTGAACAAGATCATCTCGGCCCTGATTAGGCAGCAGCGTTTGATTGAACTCAGCATTCAGAGGCTCCCAGCAGCGGCGGAACTCGAGCAAGCGGAGCGTTTAGAACTCTCAGAAGTGTCGCGCAAGCTGACGTCACAGCATATTATTCTCGCGAACATTATCTTTGGATTGAGGTTTGCAGCAAACACCTTGGCCGTCAATGATGAGAGCATGTCAGCCCCTTTTCCAGATGAGATCGATTATGTGACCGTACTCGGGCTCGATCCCGAGTAAGCAGCAGTGAGTCAGTGGTGCCACCCTTCTGTGTGCCTGGCTAGGAACGGGCTCTTGTGTCAGATTGCAGTCCAGCGAATATTGAGACGCCTCGTGATTCACTCGAGACGTTTCCAGCTATCGTATGTCTCGCCGTGCATTTCCCATGGGACAGGGGAGGGCACGGTAGGCAGGTCCTGCAGAAAGACGCGCCCCGCCCGCCGCCGCTTGTTGCTCTCTTTGCGTGCTGCCTCCCGCTTTCTCTGTTTGCCCTTCTGAGCGGGTGCCCCCAGCAAGCCAGCTCGCCAATGGGCCAATGGGCCATTGCCAATGGGGCCAGCCGGCTAGCCCCTCTTCCTCGGACTGAGGTCCGAAGCTCCCCTGATCCCCCCTGCCCGTTACCTGCGGCGGGGATGCCTTCGGGGCCCCTGCAGCATGGCTACGGGCGGAGGTGATGGGGGGCCTCGGGCCTCCCCGGTAAGGCCCAGAGGGCCTCACCGCCGCGTCGCCTCCTGCTGCTCAGGAGAACAGCAACAGCAGCAGGCCTCTCAGCAAAGGTGCCGGGGGCTCGCATCCACATCTTCCCGCAGAGGGCGCGAGAAACAGACAAGAGAGACTGGTCCGCCCTCCCAGCGCCTTACCTTACCTTACCTCGTCCTCCTCCTCCTCCCTCCTCCTCCCTCCTCCCTCCTCCCTCCTCCCTCCTTCCTCCTCCTCCTTTCCCTTCTCCTCCTCCGTCCTCCATCCCTCCTCCCTCCCTCCTCCCTCCTCCTCCTCCTCCCTCTCCTCCTCCTCCTCCTCATCCTCCTCGTCCTCCTCATCCCCCCTTCTCCTCCCCCCTCCCCCCTCCTCCCCTGGGGGCGCTCTTTTGCGTTGTTTGGTTGGCTCCCGGCAATGGTCGCCGCGTGCTTCCATCCAGGATGCCGTGGGTTTCTTGGATCGATTGAGATTTCAACGTCTCCCCCCTTCCCCTGCGGTATTCCCCAATCAGAGCTTGCTTCTGTAGGGGTCCTAGCGGATATAAAGCTGAGGTGAGGTCGGCGGCCGATTTCGGTGGCCGGGGCCGGGTGCCCGGGTGCCCGGGGGTGCCCGGGTGGCCGATGTCGGTGGCCGGGCCCCGGTGCCCGGGTGCCCGGGGGCGCCCGGGGGTGCCCAAGAGCTCAATAGCACTATGGCCCTATGGCCCTATAGCCGTAGAGCCCTCTAGCTTATGGCCCTGTAGCCCTATAGCCTTATATCCCCATAGCCCTAATAGCCTTATATCCATATAACCCTGTAGCCCCCATAGCCCATCTACCTCTCTAGCCCCATAGCCCTATAACCCTGTGGCCCTATAGGTCACAGCCCTATAGCCCGATAACCCTATAGCCGGATAGCCGTATAGCCCTATAGCCTATAGCCCAATAGCCCTATAGCCCTATATAGCCCTAACAAAAATCTGATCGGGGCTTTTCTCCGGTACCATTAGCTTCTCGGAGTCGGGATTCTGATCGAATTCGTGGTAATTATCTTTTCGGAGTCGGGGTTCTGATCGAATTATTGGCAATTAGTTTTTTTCGAATTGGGATTACAATAATTCTGGTTTTTCTATTTTTGGTAATTTTGGTCGGCCTCCGCCTTATGGCACATCGGGGCGTTTCAGGGAATGGGACGGGGGAGGGCGCCCCCCGGTACACATCACTAAAGCAGGTCCCACTAAACCCAGTTTTGCCCACGCCCGAGGGGGACCGGCGCAGATACAAGAAGTCTGCGCGGAGCGCCCAAAAAGTGCAAGTTCATGGCGTTTATTATTGTTTTTCTTCTTATCCTTCTCTAACCCCTGGGGGGCCAGAACACGACAGGAACGCGAGGTGCTCGGAGGCCCTCGCAGACTGCTCGGGTCGGCTCTGGGCCCTCTTGGGCCGTCTTGGGCCGTCGGAAGGCCGAAAAGAAGCAAAGGGACAAAACCTCCAAATATACCTCGGGGACATCAGTGATTTTGGCCTCGTCCAGCCCTCCTGGAGGACCTATTGGAAGCCTCTTGAGCCGTCTTGGAGGCCTCTTGGGTTAGGTTGGGCACGTCCCCCTACAGGCGGATTTGGGCCCATAAAATACTGCATAGTCAAAACGTGTTCAAGAATGGTCACAAATGGTAGGAGCATCGTCCCCAAACTATGTGTTCGTTTCTATATGCATCTCAGGAGGGAAAAGACACACAGGCACAATTAATCGTCGATTCCCCGGGAAAGATGGGAAAATATGGGAAGTGGGAGGGAGACAACAACCCAGAAATTACTGGGAAATATGGGGAATCCTGTTACGTGTGTCTGTTTGTTTGTGTGTCCCAGGAATATGCTCCTCCTGTAGAGGGACATGCCCGACCTGCCTCCTGGGACCTCCTCCCCGCCCCCGCCAGCGCGGGCGGGGGGCGTGGCCGCCCGCTGGAGCGCCGCTGCGCGCCGCGGGCCCAGCGGAGCAGCGCGCCCTGGCCCGTCGACGGGCGACGGAGGGATGATCTCAAGTCGGGCGCGTCCCTGCACAGGAGGAGCCAAGGGTAGACAGAGGAGAATCAAAGGATGATTTTTCTACTGTGTTTGAGCAGTTTTGAACATGTTTGACTCTTTGGCGCAATTCGCCCAACATGCGTTTGTAGGAGGGCATGCCCGACCTAAGGATTACCAGGAGGGGAAGCATTTGGGTGGCGCCAAAAGAGGGTCCAGCTGAAAGGGGGTGGTGCAATAGATTTGGGGCAATTGTATCGCAAGTGTATTGCGCCGGAGAGTTGTATTTCTTTGTGCCGCAACTGATGCATTGCGCGCGAAAGTTCAGCAATATAATTGCGCCCTGGAATGTATTGCACGACCCAAATATGTTGCAAACCACGAGTCTCTTGCACCAGATCTATTGCACCACCCCCTTCTAGCTGGATCCCCTTGTGGGTCAACCAGAAAAAAACTCATCACAGAAAGAAGTAATCGTCGATTCCGAGGAAAAGGTGGGAAACTGTGGGAAGTGGGGGGAAGACGAAAGCCCAGAACATAGGCGAAACTAACTTAGGGATCCTGGGATCTGCGTGTACATATGTTTACGTGTGTCACTGGGCCCCTTCAAGATCGCCGCAGCCGTTGGTCTGAGGGACTCACCCCTGGTCGAGGTTCGCTGGTTGGAGCTCCATGGGCGTCCAGAGGCCTCCCAGGAGGTTCCGAGGACACGGGGTGCAACTCATTTGGAGAACTACGGTCGGCGATCCCCCCCCAATGATGGACTACCATATGTAGGACGGGGCGGGGAGGGAGGATGGGGAGGTCCTCCTCGTCCTCCTCCTCCTGCTCCTCCTCCTCCGCAAATCAGCCCATCACCCAAGGCCGACCCTGGCAGCACTCGAAATCCGGCGCCCTGCGCAGGCCACCACCTCTGGGGGCGGGATCGGCCTGAGGGGGCGCCAGGGGCTGGTCCCTCAGACCACGGGCCGTTTTTCTTAAGGTTCTGGCAAGTTCATTTGAAGGTCATGCGCGAAAGGGAATCTGGACTTCACGCAAGCTGGGACGCACTTGCACGCCTTGTCTGCACAGCATTGCTTGAAACGACGGCGGAGAGGGGTTGTCTCTTCTTTGCTGCTGACGCGTGGCATGTGGCTCAAAGTAGTTCAGGACCAGGCTGCTGTCTGCAACCGGGGCCGCCGGTGATGCAGACGGCGGGAGATGAGATGGTGAGGCAGTTGCGCGCTTGGCAGGATGCGAGGTGGGTCGTCAAGGCGCGCGTGAGCTGCACGCTACTCATCTTGGGGCTTGCCTGCGTCGCTGGCTCACAGTTTGCACTGCTCGTGGGCGCGGGCCTCGACTGCGGCAGCGATACCCACTGCCCCGCATACCCAGTCACGTGGCTCATGTTGTGCATGGGCCTCTGCATCTGCTGCTACGCCCCGCTCTCTGACGACACCTGGCTCGCTCGGATGGTACTCATACTGACCGCGGTCATCATGGGGAGCGAAGTGAACTGGGAGTTTTGTTGGAATCGCGCTGAGGACCCATGCCCCGTCCTGGGTGGTCTACCTCTCCAGGGGAATGCCGCAGCGTGTATCGCGGGGCTTCTCGGCGGATGCGATGCTCGTCAGGCGTTCGCAGAGGCGGCAGCCCGGTTTCGCTGCATCGACCTGTCGATGATAACCGAGGAGGAGATGGCAACTCGCGACCCTGACCCAGTGCTCTTCAAGCGGTCTGTGCAGGTCGGAGGTTGCCAGAGGTGATCCTGGCCCCACGGTGTCCCCGTTTTTTGTCTGCATCATTTTTGCTCCTGGGGCTTCACGGGCCTCGTGGGGGGTGATCTGAAGGCCATCTGTGCCTCTCTGGAAGAGCTGGGGCCACCTGGGGCCAAGGTCACCTCTGGCAACCTCCGAGTAGGTTCCGCTGGGCGAGTGCGATGCCTTCATCTCGCATTCGTGGTCGGACGGCGCGGCGGGCAAGTGGGCCTTGCTGCAGAGGTGGCGCGAAGCTTTCATCGCCAAGCACGGGCGTGAGCCGAAGGTTTGGATCGACAAGTGCTGTGCCGACCAGGCAGACATCGCAGCCTACCTGCGATGCCTGCCAATTTTCCTCAGCAGCTGCAGGCCAGCGGGTGATCACGTTTACCGATTTCGATGCCCTTCCTTCGTCTCCACCTTGTTGTGTTTCGGTGTCGCCTACAGCTGGGTTCGCCTCCCAGGCAGATGTCTGGGGAATGGCGGTATCTGTATCTTTTGTCGAGGGTTCGTGGAGGGGGTGCAGCCCAAGGAGGGATGGGAGGGTGTTGACGAATCCAGTTCGAGGCTGATATTTTCTTGATTCAGGGGCTGTCCACTGCGACGTTACTCCAATCCTCTCTCTGGTCCTTTCCCACCTTCCGCACACCCGTTGGTTGTCCCCCCCCGACAGGGAGATGGTCGTCTTGTGCGGGCCGACCTACTTTCAACGGTTGTGGTGCGTCATGGAGCTTTTCACACACTACCGCACCGGGCTTTTCCACAATAGATTGACGCTGTTGCCGGTGATGCGTGCAGGCCAGCACGACGACGTTTGGGCGGCAATACACGCCGCCGCCAGCTCTTTCGACGCACGGCGCTGCGAGTGCGGGAGCACCAGTCACGGCGACAGAGACAGGTTGATGGACATCATACAAGCCGACGGCATCCAGGATCGTCTCTGTCTTGCCATTCGAGGGGATTGGGGCGCTAAAGATTGTCAAGCAGGCTTCGGTCAGGCTAGCAGTCGGCAGCCATGCACATATTGAGCAGCGATCTTATGTGTTGACGGCTTGGCTTGTGCCTGTTTTATAATTTTGGCCTTCGCTCCTCTCACTCTTCAGTCTCAACCGAGTGGTGGCCCGAAAGTCCGAGACACTTTGTTTCTGGGCCAGAGACATTTTTCGAGCACTCGTGCCCGACAAAGATCGTCGGAGCCTCCAGGTGAAGTGCAACTTCAATGATCTGCACAGTAGTGTTCTGGAGTTCGAACCTTTAGTTCTGCCATTGCCCCCCCCGTGCACTGGCCCCAAGGACCACGTCCCCCCCAGGGCTTCGGATTCGTCGTCGTCGTCGTCGTCGTGTCGTCGTGTCGTCGTGTCGTCGTCGTCGTGTCGTCTCGTTTCGTGTCGTGTCGAGTAGAGTCGAGTCGAGTCGTGTCGTCGTCGTCGTTGTTTCGTGTTGCCGTCGTCGTCGTCGTGACCTCCCCTGTCCCCCCCCTCCCCCTGGCCTCCCCATCTTCAAAAAAGAACAGATGAAAAAAATGGAAGGCGGTAACGAAGGCTGCCTCCCTGCCCTGAGCCCGGGACCCCGTGCCCCAAGCTGTGGCCTCCTCTTCCCCCCACCTCCTCCTCCTCCATTCCTTTTTCCTTGCACATATGTTTTCCCTGTCGCACCCCGAGGCCAGTTTTTCGGGCGGTCCAGGCGTATCGCCTGAGACTTAAGAACACTCATGACTCTGAAGCTTAAAAATTGGCAACAGTTTCACAAATGGAGGGCGGGTCGTTTTCAAAATGTGGTTCTCGCTTCAGCGCGGCGCACATGTGTTTCAAACATTTGTAAGGGCTGCACGCATTGAGTGCAGGTCGTTTTCAAAATGTGGTTCTCGTTTTAGCGCGGCGCACATTCGTTTTAACATTACAAGAGTTGCACACATTGAGGGCAGGTCGTGTTCAAAATGTGGATCTCGCCTTAGCGCGGCGCACATTCGTGCTAAAATGTTGCAAGAGTTTCACGGATTGAGGGCGGGCCGTTTTCCAAAAAGTGGCTCTCGCCTTAGCGCGGCTCACATTCGTTTCAACACATTGCAGGAGCTTCGCGGATTGAAGGCGGCTCCTTTTCAAACTGTGGTTCTCGCATTAGCGCGGCGCACATTCGTTTCAAACATTTGCAAGAGTTTCACGGACTGAGGGCAGGCCGTTTTCAAAATGATGTTCTCGCCTGAGCGCCACGCACATTCGTCTTGAATAATTGTAAGAGCTTCACGGATTGAAGGCGGCTCCTTTTTTAATGTGGTTCTAGCTTTAGCGCGGCGCACATTCGTTTCAAACATTTGCAAGAGTTGCACACGTTGAGGGCAGGTCGCTTTCAAAATGTGGCTCTCGTTTCGGCGCGGCGCACATGCGGTTTAAACATTTGCAAGAGTTTCACGGACTGAGGGCAGGTCGTTTTCAAAATGTGGCTCTCGCTTGAGCGCCGGGCACAGTCGGTTTTAAAATTTGCAAGGGTTTCACGGATTCTTATCATCACCGTACCAGAAACGGTATTTTGGAAGGATTCGCGATTATACGGGTGCAACAGTTACGTTGAATCTTTGTGCTGAAATCCTAGGAATGGCTTTCTGGCACGACTTAGGATCGTCAAGACGCAACAGTCAGGTTGATCCGCGGCGTTGCAATCCCGAGAACAATGTTTTGGCATGCTTCAGGGTCTTCAGACCGGCGTCTTCCAACGAGGCAGTTCCATCAATGGAAATGAACCGTTCTAGGGGCCTATGAAGAGGGAGCTTGGAGGGAGGGTTTACTCCAACATCGTTGATGCCTCTTGGGTTTACACTGGTCCTGCTCCTCCTCCTGGCCTCCTCCTCCTCCTGGCCTCCGAGGTGGCCCCCTTGCCCTGGCCCTGGGGCCCCGCCGCCTCCTCGCCCTGGCCCCCTGGCCGCCCCCTGGACCCCTGGGCGGCCTCCCAGGGTTGAGTCGGGCCTGCCCCTCTTATCGGGGAAACGTAAGACTCGAGTAAGCCGGAAAACGGGTTTTCCGAACTTTTTTGACGAGCGCGTCCTGGATTTTGGCGGTCCGGTTTTCTTGGGACGTGTGCAGCGGGAGTTCGCGTCAAAATTCAGATCGGTTGTCGTCATTTTCATGATGGCTCCGCCAGGCCACCCCGATTCCCCCGTACCCGAGTCTTACGTCCCCCCGACCCTACAGGAGGAGTGTTGAAACATAGTCCACAAGCAACTCGTCGGAGGACGATGCTCCGATGGTCTTTCAATCATTTCGGAGTCTTTCTGGATTAGATTTCACGTTTCGCCCAAGATCCGCCTGTGGGAGGACATGCCCGACCCGAGCCTCGCTTCGAATGCCCTTCTGTCCGGGTCGTGCCGTGGTCGTCGTGCCCCCCCGGCCTTCCGGCCCTGGCCTCCCTGGCTGCTCTGCCCTGGCCGTGCCGGACTGCGCGTCCCCAGCCCCGACGTTCTTGGCCGCCCCCCTTCTGGGCTTAAGTCGGGCCTGTCCCCCTCCAGGGGGATTTTCGACGAAAGATCAAAAATATTCCAAAAGTAAATAAAAAATAATAACAAATAGTCTGGGGATTTTTTTTTGACTATGTTTGGCCTTGTTGGGGCATTTTTAGTTTTTTTGTTTTTTTTTTTTTTTGTAAAAAAAAAACAAAAAAAAACAAAAAACAAAAAAAAAAAAAAAAAAAAAAAAAAAAATCGTCGGGGGGACAGGCCCGACATAATTCTAGGCCTCCCCCCGGGGAACCCGAGGAACCCGAGGAGCCTCCGGGGCAGCGGAAGGATACGAGGCACCAGCATGTAACCAAGTAAGGACCCCTTGGGCAAGCCTAGTTGGGGAACTTGCACCTCGGGGCTGGATATCTGCCCGTGCCCCGCGCCAGGCTGGGCTGTCAGAGGCAACGTTGAGGGGGGATACAGTGGGGGCCCATGCCAAGAAACACCCTGCTTGCTTCCAGGGTGCCCTGGGTTTCTTGGGTGCCGATGGTTTTGCGACGGAAGCCGCGACGTCTCCAGACCAAGAGTCAGTGGACGTCCTGGGGTCTCAGGGTTGGGTTTCTTGTGGAAGGTCTCTTGTGGTCGGGCCCCTACTGTAGGCCTCCTAGATGGGGTCGGATGATCGCTCCGCATCGCCGATGCATCGACGAGGAGGCTCGATGTGGAGCCCGTGCTCCGCCATGCCGACGGTGCCGATGCACCGCCCACGTCGACGATGCATCAACGGGCACCGCCGATGCATCGCCGGTGCATCGCCGGTACATCGCCGATGCATCGCCGATGTATCGGCGATGCGGCGCGGTCCCCCGACCCCATCGAGGAGGCCTCTATTGCCCGAACTCCTGGCCTACCCTTGCCCTGGCCCCCGCACCGCGTCCCCCCGGGGGCTTCGGATGTGTTTTTACGTGCACGGATGCGCTCTGGAGCTAGGACCTTTATTTCCACCCTTGCCCCCCTTTGCCCCGGCCCCCTGGACCACGTCCCACCCCCCAGGTTTTCGGCTAACTTTTCTTTTCGTGTCGTGGCGTCGCCGTCGTGGCCTCCCCTGCACCCCTCTGTTTCCTGGCTGTCGAGCTTCGTGTGAGCTCGACCTGGATGATGGGCCAGGTCCTCAAAGCCTGGGGGAAGCCTGCCACGAGCCAGAGAGTCGCGAGATCCCTTCGCCCGCCTCCCCTCGGCTTCTGGCAGGGCAGCTTCCACTCAGATCAAGCCCTGGTGATCCAACCCCCACAGTGATCCCCCCAGTGATCCCCCTGGTGTTCCCCCTGTTGATACCCCCCCTTGTGATTTCCCTAGTGATTCCCGGAGTGATCCTCCGAACGGGACACTTGCGTGCCCCCCCAGTGATCCCGCCCTCCTCCTCGTCCTCCTCATCCTTCTCCTCCTCCTTTTCCTCCGCCTCCTCCTCCTCATCCTTCTCCTCCCCCTCCTCCTCCCCTTCTTCCTCCTCCCCCTCCTCCTCCTCCTCTTCCTCCTTCTCCTCCTCCTCCTCCTTCTCCTCCTCCCCCCCTCGTCCTCCTCCTCCTCCTCCTCCTCCTCCTCCTCCTCCACAATTACTTCATATGAACACTACTTTCCCTCTTCCCCTGATGACGGTTTGAAAGTGCTCGACCCCCCCCCGCGTATTGTTTTTTACACAGGTTTCCCCGGAGTTGGGTTTTCGCCTGCATTGTTTTTTCAAAATGCTGCTCTCGCTGAGGCGCCGGCCTCATTTTCGGGCCCCGCTCGTTCCGAATCGTGCTCCCGCTGCAGCGCTGGCCTCATTTCCGTGCTTCCGCTCATTCCGAATCGTGCTCCCGTTGCAGCGCTGGCCTCATTTCCGCGCTTCCGCTCGTTTCGATTCGTGCTCCCGCTGCAGCGCTGGCGTCATTTCCCGTGCCATGCCACGGCATGCAATGCAATGCTAGGTTCATACTACGCTTTGCGGTGCTCTTCTGCGCCATGCCATGCCGTGCTCTACAATGCATCGCTTACCCTTTCGGGATCATTGCCCTGCTCGACATCCGATTGAGCGGGTAGAGAGGGGATCTGCGCCATGGTAAGGGATGGGAGGGAGGGGTAGGATGTCAGATATGACGCGAGCGCACCGAGCTTGTCCTCCCCCCCTGCTCCTCCTCCTCCTTCTCTCCTCCTCCTCCTCCTCCTCCTCCTCCTCCTCCTCCTCCTCCTCCTCTCCTCTTTCTCCTTCTTCTCCTCCTCCTCCTCCTCCTCCTCCTCCTCCTCCTCCTCCTCCTCCTCCTCCTCCGCCTCCTCCTCCTTCCTCCCCTCCCCCTCCTCCTCCTCTCCCTCCCCTCCTCCTCCTCCTCCTCCTCTTCCTCCTCCTCCTCCTCCTACTCCTCCCTCCTCCTTCATCGCTACGCGATCAGGCAGACTCCAGATCCTCCTCCTCCTCCTCCTCCTCCTCCTCCTCCCCTCCCCTTCCTCCTCCTCCGCCTCCCCTTCCTCCTCCTCCTTCTCCTCCTCTTCCTCCTCCTCCTCCTCCTCCTCCCCACTCCTCTTCCTCCTTCTTATGTTTATGCTTCCTCTTATTATTAGTGTTCTTAGTATTCTTATTATTATTATGCTTATGCTGCTTATTAGTATTATTATTAACATTATTATCATTATTATTATTATTATTAGTAGTATTTTGCTTGTTTATTCTTATTCTTATTATTATTTTTTAATTGTTCTTTTTATTAATATTATTCTTCGTATTATTAGTATTATTATTATTAACATTTGGTTTATTATTATTGTTATTCGTGTTTCTATTATTATTCGTCTTGTTATTATTATTATTATTAATATTATTATTAGTAATATTATTATTATTATTAATAATAATATTACCATTATTATTATTCTTAGTAGTGTTAGTATTATTCGTCTTATTATTATTATTCTTATTATTATTATTATTCCCCTCCTCCTCCTCCTCCTTCTCCCCTCCTCCTCCTCCTCCTCCTCCTCCTCCTCCTCCTCCTCCTCCTCCTCTCTCCTCCTCTCCCTCCTCCTCCTCCTCCTCCTCCTCCTCCTCCTCCCTCCTCCCCCTCCTCCTCCTCCTCCTCCTCCTCCTCCCCCTCCCCTTCCTCCTCCTCCGCCTCCCCTTCCTCCTCCTCCGCCTCCCCTTCCTCCTCCTTCTTCTCCTCTTCCTCCTCCTCCTCCTCCTCCCTCCCCACGCCCCCTCCTCCGTCCGCCCCGACCCTGGCCCCTCAGGAGTTCAACGCGGCCGTGCGCGCCGTGCTCCTGCGGGCCTTCTCCTCTACACTGGGCTCCGGCGCGACCGCCAGCGCGGAGCCTCGGGCCTGCGCTCGAGCCCGGACTCCTCCGACGCCAGCGACATCGATGTCCTCGGGGGCGGCCAAGAAGGGGGTGATGATATCATGATATCGTGGCGGGGTCCATGATATTGTAGTGGCCTCTGGCCAGTGCCGCCGATCCGGGGCACTCCGGCTGATGTGATCCGCCTTCGCCCTCGTCCCGCCTCTCTTTTTCCCTCCCTCCCCTTCTCACTCTGCATTTATCGAAGACGCCTACGGCGAATCACCGCCGCCCCCTGCCTTTTTGGAAGCGCCTGTGTGGCCGAACGTTCAGGCCAGACCTGCCAAGCTATCGGATCATGTGTTCCCCGAATCGGTTTGGAAAGCCTTCGGGGAACACGTGGGCATCGTGAAGGTCATCTTGGCCGCCTGGAGGCCATTTTGACCCTTGCGGGCCTTCTTGGAGGACGTCTTGGAGGGCTCTTGGGCCGTCTTGGAGGCCATCTTGAGCGTCTTGGAGGCCTCTTGGGCCATCTTGGGGGCCTCTTGGGGCCGTCTTGGGCCTCTTGGGCGATCTGTGGGGGCACTTGGGCCGTCTCAGGCCGTCGGAAGGCAGAAAAAAGCAAACGCCACAATCCTTTAAAAACTCATTGGAAATCCATGATTTTGGCCTTTACGGGCCTTCCTGAAGGCTCTCTTGGAGGCCTTTTGGGCAGTCTTGGGCCAGCTTAGTGCCATCTTCGGCCGTCTTGGTGGGCCCCCTTGCCCGGCCGACGCCGTCGGAAGCCGTTTGGGGGGCCTCTCTGAGCCGACTTGGGGCCCTCTTGGGATGCTCCAGGGCAGTCTTGGAGGCCATCTTGTGCGTCGTAACTCCTGGGCCGTCTTGGGTGCCTCTTGGAGCCGTCTTTGGGGCCTCTTGGGCCTCTTGGAGGCTTCTTGGGCGATCTTTGGGCGATCTTAGGGGGCTCTTGGGCCGTACCGGGCCGTCAGAAGGCCGAAACGAAAATCACTCTTTGGGGCCTTTTCTGGCCTTCCTGGAGGCCCTCTTGGAGGCCTCTTGGGCCGTCTTGGGCCAGCTTCAAGCCAACTTCGGCCGTCTTGGTGGGCCCCTGGCCCGTCTGACGCCGTCGGAAGCCGTTTCGGGGGCCTTTCTGGGCCGACTTGGGGCCCTCTTGGGGTGCTCCAGGGCCGTCTTAGAGGCCATCTTGGACGTCTTGGAGGGCTCTTGGGTGGTCTTTGTGCCCTCTTGGGGCCGTCTTGGTGGCCTATTAGTCCTGAGGCCATCTTGGAGGCCTCTTGGGCGCTGTGGGGACGATCTTTGGGGCCTCATGGGCCGTCTTGGGTCGTCCGAAAGCCGAGAACAAGCGAATGCCAAAAACCTTCAAAATCCATAAGCAAATCAATGATTTTGGCCTCTTCGGGCCCTCCTGGAGGACCTTGGAGGCCTCTTGGGCAGTCTTGGAGGCCTCTGGGGGGCCTCTTGGGCCGTCTTGGGCCGTCTTGGACTCTCTTGGGCCGTCTTGGAGGCCGTCTTGGACCATCTTGGGCGGACTTGGAGGCCATCTTGGCTGTCTTGGAGGCCATCGTGGGCCAACGTGGCCATCTTGGCGCCATCGTGAGCCATCTTGGAGGATCTTTTTCCGGATTGAGCGCCTTTCCGGGTGGCCGGCGGGACGGGCCAACGCCCCAGGGGGAGTTCTTTTGGACAAAGAACCAAAACAATATCATTCGGCACGCCAGGCACCCTTGCGATGAATCGACAGGGGGCGGCGGATCGAAGACGCCTACGGCGAATCACCGCCGCCCCCTGCCTTTTTGGAAGCGCCTATGTGGCCGAACGTTGAGGCCAGACCTGCCAAGCTATCGGACCATGTGTTCCCCGAATCGGTTTGGAAAGCCTTCGGGGAACACGTGGGCATTTGAAGGTCATCTTGGCCGCCTGGAGGCCATTTTGACCCTTGCGGGCCTTCTTGGAGGACGTCTTGGAGGTCTCGTGGGCCGTCTTGGAGGCCATCTTAAGCGTCTTGGAGACCTCTTGGGCCATCTTGGGGGCCTCTTGGGGCCGTCTTGGGCGCCTCTTGGGCCGTTCTGGGGCAATATTGGAGACCTCTTGGGCGATCCTTGGGCGATCTTTGGGAGCTCTTGGGCCGTATCGGGCCGTCGGAAGGCCAAAACGAAAATCACTCCTTGGGGCCTTTTCTGGCCTTCCTGGAGGCCCTCTTGGAGGCCTCTTGGGCCGTCTTGGGCCAGCTTCAAGCCAACTTCGGCCATCTTGGTGGGCTCCTGGCCCGTCTGACGCCGTCGGAAGCCGTTTCGGAGGCCTTTCTGGGCCGACTTGGGTGGGGCCCTCTTGGGGTGCTCCAGGGTCGTCTTAGAGGCCATCTTGGGCGTCTTCGAGGCCTCTTGGGCCGTCTTGGCGCCCTCTTGGGGCCGTCTTTGTGGCCTCTTGGGCCGTCATGGGGCCATCTTGGAGGCCTCTTGGGCGATCTTGAAGCGACCTTGGCGGCCTCTGGGGCCGTCACGGGCAGTCGGAAAGCCGAAAACGCGCAAATGCCAAAATCCTTCAACAACCTAAGGAAAATCGAAGTCAAGGATTTTGGCCTCGTCGGGCCTTCTGGAGGAAGTTTGGAGGCCTCTTGGGCCGTCTTGGAGGCCTCTTGCGGGCTATTTGGGCCGTCTTAGACCATATTGGGGCTATCTTGGGCCGTCTTGGATGCATCTTGGGGCCATCTTAGCCGTCTTGGAGGCCATCTTGGCTGTCTTGGAGGCATCTTGCAGGCCATCTTGGGCCATCTTCGCGATTTTTTGAAGATGCCCCGAGAGAAACGGCCGTTTTTGGCGATGGCAACGGGGTCTTCCGGGTGGCCGGCGGGACGCGCCGGAGCCCCAGGGGGAGTTCTGTGGGAAAAAGAACCAAAACCAAAAGCGAGAGGGTCCAGTACTCCAGGCACGCCTGCGATGAATCGACAGGGGGCGGCGGATCTAGTGGCTGTCGGCCTATCCTGCCACTGTGCCTGGGTGGTGGGTAGAGGCCTCATGGATGTTGGTTGGGATCTCGTGGTTGGCCTCTTCGGGGCCTCTGGGAGGCAGTTTTGAGGCCCCCCTGGGCCTCTTGGGCAGTTGCGGGGCTTCTTTGGGCCCCTTTGGGGCTTCTTTGGGGCCTCGTTGGGGCCTCTTGGAGCTTTTTGGAGGCCTCTTGGAAGCTTCTTGGGGCCTCTTGGAGCTTTTTGGGGGCCTCTTGGGAGCTTCTTGGGGCCTCTTGGGTGCCTCTTGGGAGCTTCTTGGGGCGGGAGGGAGGGGCACTCGAGTCCGGGACCCCCTCGGAGGCCACGATCCTGGTGAGGGGTGTCGCAAAATGCCCCCCCCCCCAGAGACACGCGGGTAGCCGCGACAAGCCCTAGGAGCCCCCCCCCGCAGAGCCACCCCGGCCTCCCCCCCAGCAGAGCTGAAGCTCAGGCTGTAGGTTGTAGGCTGTAGCTGAGGCTTTTCCAAACCCACACGCTGTATCGTCGCATTTCCCCAGATGTCATAGGGGCCTATTCTTACTTCAGTACGTCCTCGCCCCCCCCCCCCTGGGACCGCGCACATGCCGCTGGCCATGGTTTGCGCCCCCCCCTTCTTGGACGCCCCCCTCTTGGCCGCCCCCGATTGCCGACTGCGAGCGCGGTGAGGCAACGATCTGATCGCAACGGGCATGGGAGGCGCAACCTTTTTTCCATCTCCCCTCTGTCACTCCTCCTACACGAGGCGGATGGCGCCAGGAGCGATTAGCATATCAACTCCGAAGCTTCCGTAGGGTAACAACCACTACCGGCTTCCCATGGATCACCTCCATGATTTTGTTTTTGCCACAGGGTTGCAACTAGTGCTGACCCCGCTTGTACAATTTCTCTCTCCTTCAGGCGATTGGGCCCTCGAAGTTACAGATGCATTTCAGGCGCACTGTTGTCTTGGAGTGTTTCGGATGCGGCCCCGAACTTACAGCTCGTTTCGCCACGGGGACTTGAATTTTGCGAGCGCGTGTGATTTTGGCCACTTCGTTGTGCTGGCCTCTCTATTGACCAGTTGAGTTCCCTCTAGGCTTATGTTGGCGGGTCTCAACGCAGGTCTTGCACACCAGAATGTGCATGAGTTGCAGGCGCTTGGTTGTTTTGATGCGTTTCGGACGCATTTCTGGCTTGCAGACGCGCAATCGCCTTGCTCTGTCACGGTTCTGGTCTTGCAGGAACGCAATTAGACAGTTTTCGTCCAGGTCCCGCAAATGGTTTCGTTCGAAGAGGTTTGGGGTCAAGTCGATTTGAGCAATCGAAGACGTTTACGGCGAATCATCTCCGCCCCTTGCCTTCTGGGATACGCCTTTGCGGCCAAACGTTTGGGCAAAGTTTGGCCACGCTATTGGGCTCTGCCCCCCCAACCTTCATGGAAGCCCTTCGGGGAGCACGTGGAGGAAGAAGAGCAGGACTATGAGAGGGAGAGAAAAAAAGGATGAGGAGAGGGCCCTGACACTTGAGCCTTCAGTGGAGCTCCCCATGGGGCCGCGAAGCGAATGAGGGGTGCGCCAAAATGGTGTGGAGATGGCATGCGGGCCCTGGCGATTGGACCTTAGGCGGGGCTCTCTATGGAGCCACGTAACGTTTGAGGGGTGCGCCGAAATGGCGTGGCGAAGGCAGACGGGTCCTGGCATTGGGGCCTTAGGTGTGCGTAGCCCTTTATCGGGCCACGAAGCGTGTGAGGAAGTGGTGTGCGAACATGGCGGTTCGAAGGTATGTTGGCCTTGGCATTGCGACCTTGAGTAGTGCAGTTCCCTACGGGGCCAAGAAACGTGTGTAAGAGGTGTGCTGGAATGATGATGATGATGAGGATGAGGAGGAGGATGAGGATGATAATGACGAGGAGGAGGAGGAGGACGAGGAGGAGGATAATGCGAATGAGGATGATAAGGAGGATTTGGATGCGCATGATGATGATGATGCTGCTGCTGCTGCTGCTGATGATGATGATGATGATGGTGGTGGTGGTGGTGGTGGTGATGATGACGATGATGATGATGGTGATGATGATGATGATGATGATGATGGACATGAAGACGAACATGAATATTGTAATGCTGATAATGATGATGGTTATTATGCTGATGTTGATGATGATGTCGAGGATGAGGATGAGGATGAGGATGAGGATGCTGATGCTGATGCTGATGCTGATGCTGATGCTGATGCTGATGCTGATGTTGCTGATGATGATGATGATGATGATGACGAGGACGATGACGATGACGATGACGATGACGATGATTTTGATGATGATGATGGTGATGATGATGATGCTGCTGATGCTGATGCTGATGCTGATGCTGATGATGATGATGATGATGATGATGATGATGATGATGATGATGATGATGATGATGATGATGATGATGATGGTGATGATGGTCGTTCCGATTGAAGTTTCATTAATGCCAGACGAGGGGGGGGGTGAGAGGCCGCATGCTTGCTTGGTTTCCGCAGCCTTCGGCTCCCGAGCTGGTGCCGCAGGAGGGCTTGCTGCCTGTGCTGCATCTGCTGGAGCGCCGGCGCTCCCAGGCCTGATTCAGCTGCTGCCTGGCGACGCGCGCCCCCGCCTGCCCTGCGTGCCCGGCCTGCCCGCCGTGGCCGCGTCCAGGGGCGACCGTGGGAGTGGCAGCGGGAACGGTTCGGGGGCGGCAACGAGGGGGGTGATGACTAGAGGGGGTGAGTATCATGGCGTGGGCCATGATTTTTCCCCAGATCTCATGGCGCCTCTTCTTAATCCATTACGTCCCCAGCCCCCCCGCTGGGCCGCGCACGTGCCGCCGGTCATGATTTGCACCCCCCCCCTCTTGAACACCCCCCTCTTTGCCGCCCCCGACGTGGGAGTTGCAGCGGGAACGGTGGCCCTGGCTTGTGGTGCGGCTGCGTTCGCTGGAGTCGCCTTCGGCGTACTGGCCACCCTCACTGTAGTGCGGCTGGGGGGCCGTTCCGCTTCACCGCCGCGCCCAGCGACCAGCCGCGCGCGTACACGGTCCCCCAGCGCCCACGTCGGCGCTCAAGGCTCTTCCTGCTGCCAGTGATGGCGAAGGCCTGGGCGTGGGTCCTGTACATCGTGCAGAAGAGGGTGGTGTGTCAGTTGGCGCGTACGGATGACGCCATCTTCGTGACCCCTGACGACATGATGTACGCGGAGCGGCTGCTGGCGTCGGGCCCGACATCGCGGCGGTGCGCTTCGCGGCTGCGCCGTGGACGCCACCACCAGGGATCGCGCCGGAGTCAACCTACCGCTTCGTCCGAGCGACGTCGGCCGCCCGCGAGGCCGCCTTGCTGTCAGCCGCCACGGCCGAAGCCGACACGGAGTTCGCCAGGCGCCACTCTGGCGCGCCGCCCCCCCCATGGGGGCGCGCTCGTGCCGATGGCCGGCGGGTTCCTCCCCGGGGCGGTAGCAACGGCGCCCGCCGCGGGGCCCGCGGGCGGGGCGCCCACGGGGCCGCCCCCGGCGGCCAACGCCGCACTTGCTGCTGCAATGCCTCTGGCCGCGCTGGCGCCCGCCACCCTGGCCGCCCCCGCTGCTGCCCCGCCCGTCGCCGGCCCGGCGCCGCCCGCCATGGGCGCGCCAGCGGGGCCTGACTGGAAGGACGACGGCGGGCCTCCCTGTGGTGTTCTGGCCCAGTGAAGCGGCCCCCCCCCCCTTTAAGTTTCGTTCAGTGCGTCGCCCGAGCGTCGCCCGTGCGCCGGCCCTGGTTTGCGTCTCTGTCCCGAACCCTGGCCTCCCAGGGTGCGTGGGCGACATATGGCGCGACTTCGGAATTTCTCTGGCGATATATAGGTTTCCGACGCCGGTTCACCAGCAGCCATTCTGGCGGTCGCGGCGCACTCTATTTCGACGGTCCACCAACGCGTTCTGTTCCCAATTCGGCGCAAGAAAATTTGCTGGTGCTCATTTTCGGGGGCGCCAACCGCTGCTGAGGACGAAGACGCCTCGCGTTGATTGGGGGCTGCGCGTGTCGCGCCACTGTGGGGGTGACGTCACGTCGCGCGACGCGGCGCCACTTCGCCCCGTCGCGTCGCGCCCCGCACCCCCATGTCGTTTCGCGCCAATCCTCCTGCCCCCCCCCCTCTTCTTTCCTCTTCCCCTCGTCCAACGCGCTGCGCGTTTTGTCCCGCTTGCGAAATTTGGATTCAGTTATTTTGCGTCAGGCTGCCGTCCTGTCCGCCTCCCTATTCACCCCCCGTTGTCCTTCCACCCTCCTGGAACTTCTTCTTCTCGCCCTCCTCGCTGCCGCCGCCCGCCTTCGGTCGCCTTCCATCGCCCCCGCCGCCGCCGCGCCGCCCCCGCGCGCCCCCTTCCTCGCCGGTCCGTTCCCATTTCCGCCCGCCCTTCCCTCGCCTCACTTCCATCCTTTTTCCCCCCCCAATGCACCGGCGGGCCACGCGTCGCCAAATTGCTGCAGCGACGGGCCGATGTTCAAAATATGACGTGGCGTGCGCTAGAAATTGATTAGTCCGTGCGCGCTGCATTTCCATGTCGTCTATTGGTCTCCTCGCGTTCGTAGTTTTCATGTGCGTGTCTCGCCATTTCTACGATTGCCGCGCGCATCCCTTGATTGTTTCGCCGGCGGGCCGTGCAGTTCACGCGCCGTCAGGAGCCCGCGGCGCCCTTCGAGCGATTCGCGCGCGACCTGCGCGCGACGCGCGAAAGACCCGAGCGACGCCCGCGCGACTCACGCGCGACGCGCGCGCGACGCACCCCGACCCGCGCGCGACGCACCCCTGCCAGCGCGCGACGCACGATCGACCCGCGCGACGCACGCGCGACGCACGCGCCACGCGCGCGACGCACGCGCGACGCGCGCGCGCGACGCACGCGCGACGCACGCGCGACGCACGCGCGACGCATGCGCGACGCAGTCGCGATTTTGCCCGCCCCTAGAATTTCTCCGAGCAGCAATGCGCAACGGCCGTCGGTCCTGTCATTCCTCCTCCTTCGTCCTCTTGTGTCATTCCTCCTCCTTCGTCCTCTCTCCTGCTCGTCTCCCTCTCTCCTCCCCTTCTCCTCCTCCTTTCTACCGGCCTCCCTCTGTCTGTCCCTCCCCCCTCCTCTCTCGTCTTTGTTTCTTTCCCTTGCCACCCCGTGTCCCTCTTCATTTTCTTTTCTCCTTCGGCCCCCCTTCCACGGCCGCGGCGCGTCGCTGCGAGCGGCGCCCCCGCCTTCCGCGAACGGCCCCGCCGCTGGCGGTGGAAGAGGAAGATTGCGAGGAGAAAAGGGGGGGGGGGGGGGCAGGGGCGCGAGGCGGGCGCGGCGGCAAGGGCGGCCCGGCAGGGGAATGGGGGAGGGGGGGAGGACGGAGTGGGCGGGTGCTTCTGTAATGGTCATGTTGGTGATCATGGTCGTGGTCGCGTTCGTCGCCTTGGTCGCGCTGGCGGCGGTCGTGCCGCTGGCGGTGGGCGGGCTGGTGGCGGTCACGTGGGTGATCGTGCTGGTGTCGGTCGTTGTGGTGGTCGCGAGAAGCGCGGTGGTCGTGGTGGTGGTGATGGCGGTAAATGGTGTTGGTCGTAATCGTCGCGGTGGATGTGGTTGCGGTCGCATCCGTTTGTGGTGATCGTGGCGGAAGTAGTTTTGGCGCTGGCGGCAGTTGCGGCGGCTGCGGCGGCGGCTGCGGGGACCTGCTGGGCTATCGCCGGGGTGCGTTCAGCAGCATCGCTGCATTTGCAATGTTCGAGGGGTTTGCTGATCTGCCGAGGTAGCCCAGCGGCCGCCTTCTTCTCGCCAAGAGGGCCGCAGCGTGGGCGATTTTCATATGCCCGAAGGCGACCAGCCTTTTCAGCGGCCGTGGAGAGGGCGACGCGCGTGCGATCCGCCCCGCGGGTGTCCGCCGCGCTGGCGACGCACTCACCAAATTGCCCCCTTGCGAGGGCGACGCGCACGTTCGAGAGGACGGCTGGCCTTTTCGGCGGCCGACGCACGGGCGGCGCGCGGGCGCCGAATGCGCGACGCACCTCCTGTCGCGAAGGGGGGGGGGTCAGCGCGCCGGTCGCTTTACTGGGCCTTAACACCCTGTGGGGCTGAGTGCCCGCTGAGGAGGTCGACTCGTGCTCCTTCGGTTCCGCGATCCTTGTCGGGCCGATCGCTGGCGTCGTCCTGGCGTCGCAGGCCGGTCGTCGCGCTACGCTGGTCCTTGGCGACGGGGGATCTCTAGCATGGGCGTCCTCCTCGAGGACTGGCGGCGGGCCGACTTCATCGATCGGCGGCGGCGATCTGGTCTTCGGTCCCTAGCGCGTCAGCCTGGCGCCGTTGGCCTGGGGAGCTGGCTCTCGGTTGCGGAGGTCGCGAAGAAAGCGCGCAATCCGAAGTTTGCGCTCGCGTCGAGGTCCGCCGCCCGGTGTGTGAGCTGGCCCTGCGCGAGGGCGGGCCTATCCAGCATGCGAGAGCTTGAAGGCTCGGAAGCGGCGCAGCACGTCTGACTGCGCGGTCGCCGAGCACCGCGCCTTCAGCTTTGCGCTCGAGGATATCGCCACCGCCGACAAGGTCAACGCATCGAACCTTGTGGGCGCCCGGCGGGGGGGAGCGAAAGCCACCCCCAGGGCCGCGGCTGGAGGCGCGAAGTCATGATGAGGGGCCTTCTGGCCCAGCCTCTCCGGGGGCTGCGGCGTCTGGGCCCTAATCGGCGGCAGCCTGCAGCGGCGACCTGCAGCGTCGAGGATGTGCGCGGCAGGCGCGGCGCGGCAGGCGCGGGGTGGCAGCGGGGCCTGATTCCTCTGCCGGCGCCGGCCGCTGCCGACCCCAGCGGGCTCGGCGGCGGCGGGCGCCCTTAATTCGCGGAGGCACGCGCGCCGGGCCGTTCAGCGGCCTCGGCGGATGCGAAGGCAGTCGCGGCGGCCCGCTAGCGGCGAACGTGGCCCAGCGGCAGCGCCCGGAGAGGATCGTGGAGTCCGTCTCCCAGCTGGGCCCCCCGCCGGGCGTCTGATGGGGCCGCTGGCAGCCCGTCAGGAGCTCCATGCAGGCTTCTCGGTCCCACGACGGCTCGCGGTCGACCTGGGCGGGGGCGACGGGCGCCCCCCGGCTCTCGCATAACTGCAACCGCCCTGCGGCGCTGGATCGGTCGCTGGGACCCGAAGTTCCCCACCGCGTCTATCGCGATATATCGAGTAAAGGTCGCGCCAGAGACCGAAGTTTTGCAGTTGGAGCGGGGCGGTGGCTTCGAAGCCTTGCGCGGGCCCAGCCTCGCGCGACCTCCGGCGCCGCGCGGCCCCGCTGACGCGCGCGCTGGGCGCCGGGGCCACCCGCCTCGCCCGCGAGCCTGACGCGGAGGGCGAGGTCGCCATCTTCATCGCGCCCGAGAAGAACGGGCGGCAGCGGCTCGTCGTCGACGCCCGGTCCGCCAACTTTTGGTTCGGCACGCCCGCGGGCGCGGCGCCGGCGGCGGTGGCGCTCCCCGAGGGCGCCGACATGTTGACGGCCTATGCCGACATCGCGGACGCATTCTACAACGCGCAGCTCCCCATGGCCTGGCGCCCGAACTTCGCCCCCCCGCCCATCGGCGCTTGGCGGCTGGGGCGGGCGGCTGCCGCGGGGGCGGGTCAACCTCGGAAGGTCTGGCCGCGGCTCGCGGCGCTGCCGGCGGGCTAGGCCCGCGCCCACGCGGTCTTCCAGCGGGTGGCGGAGTCGGCCGCTGACCGCGCCAGGCCGGCGCCAGCCTCGAGGATCGTGGATCGGCAGGTCTTCGCGGGCTTGGCGCTCGGGCGCCATCTCGCGTGCGTCGGCAAGTCTGCCGCGCCCCAGCTGGGCCCCCCCGTCGCCGACCAGGTGGAGGACGCCGCGGTGGCGGAGCTGCGCTCGAGCGGGCTGCCCGTTCGCGAGGAGGGGCCGGCCACGCTCCGCGCGCAGATGCTGGGCTGGGCGCGCGACGTCCGCCGCGAGGCCGTTTTCCCAGCGTTTTGCAGGGCCTGGCGTCTCTGGGCCCCGCGGGCCGCGGGCCCCGCTCGCGATGACGCTGGCGTTGGCCCAGCAGTTGAAGCAGGTCGTCGGGCACTTCTGCCTTCCTCCTCATGGAAGGGCGCCCGCTCCTGTCGGTTTGCTCCGAAGTTTGCCGCCCCATGCTCGAAAGTCCGCGGAGGCCCCGCGGGCTCGGTGGCCGAGCGCGCTTCGGGGGCCGTCGGGTGCCGCGGGCCTAGTGCCTCGAAGTCTTGCGGGCGCCGACCTCCGGGCCGAGTGGATTGGGCGAGCTTCGCGCGCGGATGCCTCCGACCTAGGCCGCCTGCGCGGGCCGTGGCTCGGGCGCCCGAGGCGGCAGTTCCGCGGGGCCCTGCGGGCCGCGTGCTGAAGGCGCTCTCGGTCGAAGAGACCGCGAGGAACAACTACTTCGGCCTGTGGCGGGAGCTCTCAGCGCGGCTAGCAGCAGTTGCGGACGCAGACGGCGGACGAGCTGCCGCTTCAACGGATGGGCCAGCAGGCCAGCTTGCGCCAGGTCCCCGCTCCCGTGGGACCTCGTCGCCCTCATCGCGGCGAGACTGATCGACGTGGGCCCTTCTCCAGGAGGGCCTTTGTGGACGCCAGTTGCACGGTCGTATCCTTAACCGTTGGCCTCAAGGTTGGCCCGCGCCTTCTTTGATGCACGTATGCGTTCTGCAGCCCATGAAGCCTTGACCATGGTTCCAGTTCGGTTCGGCGCGTAATCTAGCTTTGAGTAGCCTTCCAGGAAGTTCGTGAACGGTTTGGCCGCGGGCCTTTCAGCAGACTCCATTTCGTTTCAGCGGGCTTTCTCTCAAGGGAGGAAAACCACCCAGACCAGACAATTGGCATTTACTAGACGGCGTTGAGCGTTTACTAAACAGCCCTGCCCTGTTCGATTCCTGTGATGGGCGGGTTTGCTAAAAGACTTCGCGTGTCGGGGTGGTGATTCTCGGGGTGGATTTTCTGCCGTCTGTCTTCTCTGGCCACACCATGTTTTGTGTCCCGGTCGAATCCGACGTTGGCCTCGGCAATGCCATCGTCAGAGCATGACGATGACGATGATGATGACAATTATGTTGATGATGGTTTGTTTATGATGATGATGATGATGATGGTGATGATGATGATGATGACGGTGATTGTTGTGATACCATGGGTGATGATGTTGCGGATCCTGATGAGGAGGATGTTGAAGGTGATGGTGATGGTTTGAAATTGACCCCGATGTGGGTGGGGATGGTGATGTGGATGAGGACGATGATGAACGATGCTGGTAAGTATCATTCGGATGATGCAGGTGGCGATGATGACGACGTTGAGGATGACACGATGATAGCGCTGATCATGTTTACGAAAGTTATGGTGACGACGGTGCGGGCGCTGATCAAGGAGATGATGATGATGATGATGATGATGATGATGATGATGATGATGATGATGATGGTGATGGTGATGATGATGATGGTGTTGATGTTGATGTTGATGGTGATGACGATGATGATGCTGATGATGATGATGATGGTGGTGAACGTGGTGGTGATGGGGATGATGGTGACGATAACTACGTTCATGTTTCTGACGTCGATGAATATGCGGAAGCAGATGTAACTTATGATGCTGATGATGCCACTGCTGTGATCATGATCACACCGCTGCTAATCATGATGGTGATGATGCTGATGTTTAGGATGAGTATTGTGAGGATGTTGGTGAGGATGACGGCGATGATGACGATGGTGACCTTGAGTTCGATGACGATGGGGACGATGATGCAAGCGACCATGGCGACGACGATGATGATGATGATGATGATGATGATGATGATGATGATGATGATGGTGATGATAACGATGATCATGCTGATGATGACGATGATGTTTATTACGATGATGATGCTGATGATGATGGTGATGACGATGCTGCTGATGATGCTGATGATGATGATGATGATGATGATGATGGTGATGGTGATGATGATGATGCTGATGATGATGATGGTGGCGGTGGTGGTGGGTGTGGTGAGGATGATGGTGGTGATGCCAATGATTGCGTTTCGGATGATGATGTTGGTGGTGGCGTGACAATGTCGATGAACATGAAACTCATGACCAGGAGAGGAGGACGACGGCGATGAGAACGCGTGGATGGCAGAGACGAGAGGAGGGAGGGGGATGAGGAGGGGGAGGAGGAGGAGGAGGAAGGAAGGAAGGACGCGGGGCGATGCGTGTCCAAATCGCGTACATAAGACCAAAAAACGTTTGAAAACATGCAATCATGGAACCTCGAACTCCGCTTCTCGGAGGTGAAGAAGGAGGACGATTAGGCGGACGACAAGGAAAACAAGAAGGAGGAGGAGGAGGAAGGGGGAGGAGGAGGAGGAGAAGCAGGAGGAGATACAGTAGGAGGAGGAGGAGGAGGAGGAGGAGGAGGAGGAAGAGGAGGAGCAGGAAAAGACGCTGACGACGACGAGGACGAGGACGACGACGAGGACGAGGACAGCGACTACCATGACGACGACGAACAGGAGGACCAGCACGACAGCGACGGCGACAGACGAGGGAGGGGGATGGGCCATGGGGGACCTGTGCGAGTGGAAAACCGACCCCATTCGGGCGAGTTCCCGCCCGAAGGCTTTTCGGAGTGGGCGAGTTTCCGCCCGAAGGCTTGTCGCAGTACCCCCGCATCTGAGGCCGGAGCCACAGCTGAAGCGCACAGACACGGACAGGGCCCGCCCCTGCAGGCACGACCCCCAGCACATCGGCGAGCGACGCCGCAGGCTTCCACCCCTCACCCGGAGCAGCATCCTACCGACCACGACCAAGACCACGACCACGATAGCGGCGGCGACCACGAGCACGACAGCGGCGGTGGCGGCAGGGGCGGCGGCGGCGACGACGACGACGACGAGCGCAGCGGCGAGGAGGACGAGGACGAGGAGGGCGACGGCGACGACGACGACGACGACGACGACGACGGCGACGGCGACGACGGCGACGACGGCGACGACGGCGACGACGGCGACGACGGCGACGACGACGACGCCGACGCCGCCGAGCCCAGCTGCCGCGAGGCGGGCCCGGCCCTCCGGCGCCGCCCGCGGGCGGCGAGGGCCTCGCCCCGGCGGGCGGCGGCGGGGCATCGGCCGGCGGCGGGGCCGGTGCGGTCGGCGCCGGCGCCGCAAGAAAAGGTGCCTCAAGCAGTGGCGGGTCGGGCGAAAGGGGGGGTTTGGGAAAGGGGGGTTACGAAATTTGCTGCATGCAGCTGTTTTCGGCCCCACCGAGGGGCCCACTCCTCGATACAGGGGCGCCTCCCGGCGCCGGGAGGCGCCGGGAAAATCAGCTACGTGAGCTGATTCTCAAACCCGCGAAGCGCCCCGGCTCGCCGATAGCCCCACCAAGCCATGTTCTAAGACTTTTTGATGGTTCCCACGAAATGTTAGAGCATGTCTGGCGGGGTCTGTCTTGTTTGAACACATCGGGTGTATGTTCTAAGAACATCGTTTTTGTTCTTCGAACATAATTGGGGTTCTAAGAACATCTCGTGGTAGGACTACAGGGGTGCCGGGACGGTCGGCCCCGCGCAGACCAGCCACAGTCGGCCACGCGCAGACCGGGTTCTCAGAAACTCCCTTGCTTCTCAGAGGGAGCGGCCTTAACTATAGATGTACAGTCGGGGTGCTGAAGAAGGAACCCTTTTCGTTGGGGATGGGCTCCGTGTTCCTTGATTGTTTCACAGCTTGCCTTAGGTTGTCGATGGGAAATCGAGCTTTAACTGATGGGATAAGGGGGCCTCGTTCCTTATTTAGGGTTCTTTAGGTTAACGTCCCGACTGTAGGGCCTGCGCCCTTTGAGAAGCGGCCTCGTTCCGAGGCGCCTTCCTCCCTTTGCCCCCTTTGCGCGTGAGTGCGAGCTGAGGTCCGTCCCCCCTGTGGGGCCGCACGGCGATTTCGAGACGCCATCTCGGAAGATTCGTCGGTGCGACAGGTTCCCCACGGGGATGCGTAAGGGACACATCTCACCCAGATGGGTTTCTCAATCTGGCGGTGGTCCCTCGGTTTCGTCCTCCGGGGGCTGGTTTCGGATCCCCGGGCGACTAGGAGCGCATTTGAAATAGACCCCCTTGGGAGGGGGGCAGGAAATTTGCTTTTGGGACCGTGGGCTGCGATAGTCACACCGCCAGATCGCACGGTCGGGTGCTGTTCCGAGGCGACGGTGCTTTGTTCGCGAAGAGCACCACACGGCATCAGCATCAAGTTTCGGAGATCCGTGCAGATCTCTCGGGTCGGCGCTGGGCCCCTCACGTCCTTGTGTGGTGCCTTCGTGGCGCGCTCCGCGAGCCAGGGCGGAGGTCCAGAGCCGACCCGAGAAGTCCGCGCGCATCTTCAGACTTTGATGTGCTTATGCCGAATCATTAGGGGCTGATTAGAAGTCCGAGCGAGCCAGGGCGAAGGTCCCGAGCCGACCCAAGAAGTCCGCGCGCATCTTCAGACTTTGATGCGCTTATGCCGAAGCATTAGGGGCTGATTAGAAGCCCGACCCTGCAGAGTCCACGGCGCCATTGTGATCTGTCTGTCGCGCTGCGTGGCGTCTTCATGCCTGGGCCGTGGGCTGCCTTTGGAAGAGACTTGTGTCGTCTGGGGTGTCTTCAGCACGCGGCCCCGACTAGCACTCCGAAGAAGGCAGCCACACACCACCACCTCTCCTGACCAGGGCCAACTTGGGCCCTGGCATGGTGCATAGCCCATCCTTGCCTCGGCCGGGGCGCAGGATGGCACTGTCCAGGCAATGCGGCGTAGTAGAATTGCTCTCTGCAGCCCCACATCTCGAGAGCTTCAGCAGGGGTGGAAAAGTAAGGGGGAGAGCATCACATGTAGCCTGGAGTTCCGATCGCCCATGTGTTTGACGAGACTCCTAAGCGAATACGTGTAATGTCCCCCCTGCCTGTGAGATAGTTCCCTTTGCCTTCCGTCCGGTATGCGTGTGTCGTGTCGACACGCCTCCGACCCAGCGCGGGCGTTTGAAGGTTGAACGCCACCAGTATGTCTGAAAACCGCGATCCTTCAGGGTTGAGCGATCCATGCGTTGTCAGAGACAACCGTCAACATCATCGCGGCATTTGAGCCCACTGTAGCAGATCGCGACCCCCGATTTGCAGTTCTCGTCCTGCCTCATCACGAGTGTTGCGCTCCGTGGGAGAGGATCGGGGGAGATGATGAACGGAGGGGAGAAGGATTAGTTGCCGCACTCCGTTGATGGATCCTAAACAGCGAGGCAAAGGGTTCCTTCACAGTAATAAAAATCTCGGAATCTTCTCTGGATTGTGTTGGGTTCCTAATTGTGTTGGGTTCCTACGCTGTTCAGGGTGATTCCCATTCCCCTCAGGGTGCGGCAGGCGGACCAGGCCCCTGGAGGGCATGACCTACTCTGAGCAGGATCCCACCCTGGAGGAGGGGGAGCTGCAGGTCACAGAGGGGTGCGGGGGGAGCTGGAGCACCCCTTTCCCGCTCCTGCACGCCCCCTCCCGCTGACCGCTCCACGAGGGCAGGTCCCAGAGAGGAGGCATCCTTGGCCTCTCTCTCTCTCTCTGTCTCTCTGCTGCTGCCTGCTTGTGCTGCTGCTCGGTCGGCTTTGCTTGAGCTGCGTGCGTGCTTCAGTGCGTTCTGCTCGACTTGACCTCCTGTCGCCCGTCGCGTGAGGAGGGAGGGGGCGGCGATACGACGAATGCAGATGGTAGGCTGGTAGGGTAACCGGGCATGCGGACGGAGACGGGGCACCACATCACGGCATAAACCCAGGCCTTCGACGAACCGCGTGGATTTCTGTGGTCGGCGTTGGACTCGATGCGTCCGCTCGGCATTCCGAACGTCTATTGTTTATAGTTCCGTTTCCCCCTTCTCTCTCATCCTTCCCGTTTTTCTTCCCTCCGTTGGTCTTCAGCGTGAACCTGTCTGCCCGCTCCCTGTCCGCCTCGCGCGGCGCTTCTACACTGCCGTCTTTAATACATGCTCCGCGTGCGGATCATGTATTAGAAATGCAGGCATTCAGTATCAAAGAAAAAACGAGGAGTTCATACATACATTCATTCATACATTAACCATGTACTAAACATCCAATATGTTAAAAATCCTATGTATTAGAAATCTGCCCTGTAAACATGTCTGCCCGCTCCCTGCCCGCCCCGCGCGGCGCTCCCATCCTCTGCTCCTTCAGCGACGTGGAGGTGCTCGGCCTCCTGGGGGGAGGAGCGGCGGGTGCGCCTCTCGGGCGCTGCGTTCATGGGTGGGGCGGCACGCGCGTGCGGGGGTGAAGCAGGGTGCCCCAGGTGTACCCCTTGAGGGTCGGGGGTGGATCGGCCTCCCACCCTGACACGTCGATTAGCGAATTGGCCGTTTTCGGTTCGCGAGAGGGCGTCGCGGCCGTCGTTTTTGCGGGTCCAGGTCCGTCGGCTTCGGTCCCAGGCCGTTTTCATTAAGGGGAGGTTTACTAAAGGGAGGTTTGTCCACCGCCGATCTGCTCCTTCAGCGATGTGGAGGTGCTCGGCCTCCCGGGGGAGGAGGAGCGGCGGGTGCGCCTCTCGGGCGCTGCGTAATGGGTGGGCGACACGCGTGTGGGGGTGAAGAAGAGTGCCCCAGGTGTACCCCTAAGGGGGCGCCATGTGGCCAAAAAAGGGAGCCCGAGGGGTGCACCTTTCTCCAGGGCTCGAGCTGAACGGTGTTTTGGCAATTTCGTGGACCGTTTTCGTTTTGACTTCGTTTTGCAGCAAATGTGGAACGAAGACAGAACTAGGGATGACGAAACAAAACAAAAACCGAAAACACTGTTTAATTCGAGCCCTGCTTTTCTCCCCTCCCTGCCCCACTGACGGCATCCCCACTGTCCTCGTCGCCACGGCGAGATCCGCTGCGAAAAAGCCTTGTCGATGTCCGAAGGCTCGAGAGCGCCCGCGCCCTCCTCATCAGTCGCCTCATCGTTCTCGGCTCGCCCCGAGAGCGCCCCACGCCCTCACACCGAGCGCATGAGTGGTTCTGGGATAAGCCAGTTGTTGTGAGCATCGTCGGCAGACACTTTTTCTAGTGACGGTCGGACTGCTGCACTTCTCGCATCCCCATTGAGCAGCGCCCGAGCGTCGGCGCGCGCGCGCGCGGCCAGGCGAACCGCTTCTTGCGCCAAAGCGTGGATTTGAGGCGGCAGGCGCCGCCGCGGCATCGGCGCAGGGCGGCAGATCTTGGCACGTCAGTCGTCCGTCCCCCCCGTTCGTCCTCTCGGCGGGGATCTTGCTTGGTCAGCGGGCGCAGAAGATAGGGGAACGAACAATGACACATACAAACTCGGAGGTCCGCTCGGATTTCTCGGATCGGCGCTGGAGCCCCCTGGCGGCGCCTCCAGATCCGCCCCTGGCGCGCTCCGTGCGCCAGGGAGGGGGGTCCAACGCCGATCCGAAAAATCCGTGCGGACCTCCGAGTTGTTATGTTTATGCCAGTCCTTGCTTCCCTAAAAGAGTCAGCCGCCCACTTAAGGCGACGGGCAGAGAGGAGAGGTGAAACGGCAGGGGCCGCGGTCAGAACAGAAAGTCCCTCCCCCCCTCGTCCTCGCGTCGGGGAACAGACAACTGCACAAACCTGAGCTTTCGGAGAGCCGCGCAGGTTTCGTGGTCCTGCGCTGGAAACCCGTGGCGGCGCCTCCAGCGCCGCCCCTGGCGCGCTTTGCGCGCCAAGGGGGGGGGGGGGGGTCAGCGCCGATCCAACACCTCCGCGCGGAACTCACTCCGAAAGTCTTGGGAAACTATTTCATGATCTGCCAGGTAGTGCTATGTTACATGTGCCCTGCCGCCTGACATTGATCCGCAGGGCGCCCTTTCATATTCAAATGGATACAGCATTATTATCTCCAAGAAGGAAAAAAAAACACATGAGCATCAATTTTCGACGCTCCGCGCGGATTTCTTCGATCTGCGCTAGGGCCCCCTGGCGGCGCCTCCAGCGCCGCCCCTGGCGCGCTCGCAAATCCAAGAAATCCGCGCGGACCGTGGAAAGCGTATGTTTACGTGTTTTGTTTCTTCCTCTATCATCACCTACTTGCCCCGCCCGGGGCTTTTTGAGCTCAACGCCCGCACAGCCGAGTGACAAAAACAAGCCAGCAGCGGTGGCTGGGGAACCACTGCTGGTAGTGCGGGCGACCTCGCTGACTGAAGGCTACCTCCAGCAGCCCCGTGGGCCAGGAGGCACTGACCACGCGACGGGCGACCGCCCCGTGGTCGGCAGGGAGGGGGGGACCCAGCGCAAATCCAAGAAATCCGCGCGGACCGTCGAAAGTTTAAGTCTACGTGTTTTGCTTCTCCCTCTGTCATCACCTACCTGCCCCGCCTGGGGCACCCAGATGGTAAGCGGAGCCTGCTAAGGTTCCGGTCCGTCGCGCGGCGCCCCGCCGCGGGCGCCGCCGCGCGCCGCCGCGCCGCGGCACGGTCTTCCCAGCGGCCGCTGAGCGCCGCGGCGCCGCCGGGCGGCGCCCTTCCGCCGAGGGTTCCCCCCCCCTCCCCCCCCCCCCGACCACCTTGGCATCGCTCGGACGTGTGCATTTTTCCTTCGGCGAGGACCATCGAGGACTATCCCTGATCATTTGGCGAGAAAGCCACGCACGAAACCGAAAAAAGCGCAGGGAATGGACGTCCGAGCGATGGCCAGCCACTGTCAAGCAGTGGCTGGCCATAGGCCCATAGGCCCACCAGAGGCCGCCCCTAGGCCCATAGACCCATAGCGTCCTGGCTCGCCCATAGGCCCACCAGAGAATGTGCTGAGAACCTGCTTGCGGTCTGCTCGAAACGTTTTCAGATCATTTCTGGCTGGGGCTGCCTTGGTTTCACACATCGGGTGTACGTTCTGAAAACGTTTGTTTTGTTATCCGAGCGTTTTGTGAGGCCTACAGGAATGCCGGGACGGCCGGCCCCTGCTCAGCACTGTGGCGAGGCCGGGTAGCTCGCGCGCCAGCTTCGGGGTCGCCGCCACGACGGCCGCGAACCACCTTCCATCTACTTGGACGAGCTCCTCTATTGCGCGTTCATCCTGATCCATGCTCTCTCTCTCTCTTTCTCTTTCTCTTTCTCTTTTTTTCCTCGCTCTGTCTCTCTCTCTCTCTCCCTCCCTAGGCAGGAAGGTGTCCATCGGGCTGGACAGGGCTGACATCCCACACTAGGACCGTTGAGCAAAGCACCTCGCCGAATACGATGAGCGCTGCTGGGATCTGAATTACGGCCGAGAAGGTAAGCCCGAACAGACGCCACTACGCTACATCCCCGTTTAGGACTCAGCGGCCCATCCTACGACGCAGTACGGATATTTCATGCACTCAGATCTCTTCACAACCAGACGTCGACGGTAACGCCGAAGGCAATGGAGTCACGCTTTTCGCGGTGAGGAAAACAAAAACGCGCAGAACATCGCGCCAGATCGATCGACAGAGATCTTCGACACGCCTTTGTGCGTGAGTAGCGCTTGGCGCGGAAGAAATGAACCAATGGCATGGCACGACGCCGCAAAGGGTTCGCCAAGCTGAAACAAGTCAGCTCAGAAACCACCGTCATCGAGGACATTCAAGCTGCGCTTGCTGTACGCCTCTCTGATCCCATCATGGAAGAACAGGCCGCAGTAGTAGCCAGCAGCGGCAATCATGATACCATCGCGGGCATCGACCTCGCGCTCAGGATTCGGTATCCTGCGCTCGGCCGCCAGCAAGATCGAAACCAAAATCGACGAGACTGGTCCTACCCCCCCTCTGTGTCGGAGGGCGACGACGGCGATTACAACGGCAGCGAGTTGGACGACCAGGTCTACTTCGGGGATGGCCAGGAGTTTGGCGATGAGAATTACGATGGGTACCTGGAGGAAGAGAGGACGACCACGACGCCTATTTCGCCGACGCCAACGTCAGCGACCTGTCCATAGTAGTGTGCGAGGCGTTCAACACGATATTTTCCAAGAAGCAGAGGCCGCCGAAGCGCATAACCCAGTCGGCCCACGGCAGGGGCAAGGGCCGCCCTCGCGGAGGGAGCGGATCACGAGGTGGATCGCAGGCAGCCGCTCTTAGCCACAGTCGCGGCGAACGACGGACAGGACCAGCCAAAACTGACAGTTCGAACTGGGGTTTTGACCGACGGCGCCAAACCCGCCAGAAGCACATCGAAGAGCTCCAGAAGAAGGCCCTGTGCTCAGATTGCAGAGAGTTTGGTCACTGGCAAAGCGACGCGGTCTGCCCCAAGCAGAAGGGCGACCTATCGGCAGGTCCGAAGAAGTCGGGCCGAAGCTTTGTCGCCCTGCAGGACGACGGCGACGACCAGGAACGCGACCAGGAGGAACCGATGGTCAAGAAGTGCAAGGATGAGAACGCCAAACGCTGCGAACACGTCTACAGCTCGCTGGGGGACAAGAGCCTGCTCGAGAGGGGCGCCAGCGGCGCCTGCAGGCACGCCTACCGCAGCGAGTGCGACGTGCACCTCGTCATCGCTGACAGCGGGAAGCCCCCCGATCTGTGGAGGCACGTGACCGCCGCCCTAAGCATGATTGCCTGGTGCACGAAGGTCAGCGCCCAGAAATTACCGCTCCATGAGATGATCGAGGACGGCGGCCCTGCGACGGCAGCGGCAGCGCCGGTTAAACCAGCGCGAAGATCAGGTGCCACATCAGCAGCGGCATCCGCCTACAGATAACCCCAAGGAAAAGGATTGCTTTTTTGTTTCTTGTGGATCGGCGTCGGCCTCTGCCACGGACGCCAGGAAGCAGATCGACCCCCCCCCCTGCCAAGGGCGACCTGCCCATGCCCGCCGCGAGATCGAGTCCCCCGAGACCGACGTCGCCATCGACGACCCAGTCCGCAAGACATGACAGAGGACCTCGTGTTCCTCTACGGCTACACGCTCAGCATGACGAAGAAACGCGCTTGTCCACCCTGACTGCGACTGCGAGCTAGCTCCGATGCCGGGCCCCAGCGGGATCATCAGTTGTGGGATTCGCATGGGGTCTTTGCTCCCCGACGCCGCGGCCGATCCGAGGCTCATCTGGCGCGGCAAGTGGCCGCGGGGCGAGGTCATCGAGAATGGCGATCCCGTGCGCGTCGGGCTCCACCGCGATGACCATTTTCTCTGCGGCATCCTGCCGGCGGCCCGCGGCACGTTCAACGCAGGCCCGAGGCAGCTGAGAGAGATGGAGAAGTGTCGCCTCGGCTCTGGAGATAGCGGCTGGATGGAGGTGAACGCCTGGCTGTCCACGATGCCCGCGCACCCGAACATGTTAACCAGAGTTGAGTCGTGATCGTGGTCGCCCCCGAGGACGGCGGCGCGGGCGACGACGGGGGCGGCCGCGCGCTGGCGGTCTTGGACACAGGGCGCACAAGGACAGTGCGCGGTGCTCGCTGGGGCCGCCAGCTGGCCCGTCGCGGGCTTCAGCATGCTGCCGCCCAGGCCAACCGCGCCCTCAAGGGAGTTGGAGGGGTGTCACAGAGCAGCTGGACAGTCGCCTTCCCGGTGGCCGTCGGCGGTTGCATCGGAGAGCTCGCGTCCTCCGCGGCGGACGAGGCCCCCGACGCCAGTCGCAACTGCCCGATTCACCTCGGCATGGACATGCTCGCAGAGCTCGGGGCCGCCGCTCACCAGGATAGCAGCGGCGGCGCCGCCGACTCCATTGCCGTCATAGTCTCCGGCCTCGAGGTGCACCGCGCCTCAGCTGGCCGCGCAGCGATCAAAAAGTTTCGACTTCTTCTCGGCGCCGACCGGGGGTGCCTTCAGGCGGGGCGCAGCCAGCGAGGTCAAAAAGTTGTTTCTCGCGCAGTTCCGCGCCGCCACGACTGAGGTGATGGGTGACCGCCGCAACCTCGGCGACGCGAGTCCGACGCGGCATTATTCGCGAGGGGCGCCGCAGGAGAAGGCCATTTCCAACTGGCTCGTTCGCGCACTTCAGACGTGCCCAAGCATGACCAGGCGAGTCTCGGATATATTGCATCGCTGGTTTCGCCCTGTATAGGTCATCGGGCAGGAGGCCCGCAGCGCGAAGCACCTGTCCAAGGCCCGTCGCCGAAACTACCTGTGCCGACCCACGTGGAGCTTGTCTACGGCATGGACGCACCACAGTACTGGCGTCGCCAGAAGCACGACGATTCGCCCCCGATGACGAGCTACTGGCCATGCGCACACATGTCAACCCTGAATAGCTCAACGTCACGTCCGCCAAGGGCGCTCGCAATTACGTCGACATCCGCCCAGGCGCCGCCGTGGCAGGCGTTACTCCTGGACGCGCGCCCGCTCGCAGGGGGCGCGCCGGGGGCGTCGCGCCGCCTGCGCCGCCGCCGGCACTGGCAGTTCCAGAGCCAGCGGCCGCCTCGCGGCGACGGAGAGGCCCCGCTACAAGCGCAGCTACGCCCGCAAGCTGCTGACGATGATGATGATGATGATGATGGCGGAAACGACTTTACACATGATGAAGATAAAGCTGCTACCGAGGAGCCTGCTACTCCGTCAGTCCCAGAGCGCGCCGATCCCATGCCTAACTCCGGCCACAGGGGATCCGCTGATCCAGCCAGTGGCGGAGGACTCGTACTTGGAGGGGCCACCGCCCGCGCCCGCACCCAGGGGCCCTGCAGTGCTTGGCTGGGTGGCCAATGTGACCACGCGCGACGAGAGGTCGCACCGCCGAGGCCGCAGCCTCAGGGCCGATGCCACTGCCAGTGGCAAGTTTGTTGCCCGGAGCTCAACGGCCCCGGGGGGGGCCAAGCGCGCGACTTTCCACCGGGCACTATATCGAGACCCTGCGCGGCCGGACGCCCAGAAGCTCGCGGGGAAGCGCAAGACGTCCACGTCTGCGCGAACCAGGAGCGCGATGGGGGAGTGCCTCGACGAGGCCTACTCTGGCGACAACGTTGTCGACAGCGCAGGTGCCTACAAGTGGAGACGCGCGGACTGCGGCAGCACGATTTACGTCGCCACCGACGCACGTGGATCCCAATGGTCCAAGGTATCGTGCCGCATCGCGACATTTGCCTTGGTGCGCGCACGTTACATCGTGGCTGGAGAGATCTTTCAGGACCTCGACGTTCATGGTCTACCACTGGGACGCCACAGCCTACGTACCTACCTGCCGAGGCTCAGGCCAGAATGACGATCTTCGGGGCAGCGTCGATCGGCAGCAACGATCGGGCGGAGTTCGCCTGCCTCACCAAGGTAGGCGTCCGATCGGAGATCAGGCTGCAGGGCTCGTCACCAGAGCTGCGCCATGAGCGTGACCGAGCCTTGTAAAATGGGGTGGCGGTGTCAGGTAGCGGAGTTGCTAGACGACAGCCAGGTTGCGAATCTCACCAAGTAAGAGACCCAGCCAGTTGGCACCGCGTGGGCGCGCGCCGAGGAGAGTGCCAAGAAACGCGGGTCACGCCAGGCTCTGAACACATCCCTTTTTCTGCCACGAGCCGCCGCGTGGTTCAAGGCTGCCAAGAGCACGTGCTCGGCATGCGAGGTGGCGCTCCTGCCGCCAGCCCACTCGCCTTCCACGTCGAGGCGAGCACTGGAAGATCGCAGCAGCTGACGCGGCTGCGGCCTGCCTGCAGTCGGAGGAGGCCGTGCGCGCACTAGTCCTCAAGGCTCCGAAGCGACCACAACCGGGAGTTCCAGAAGGAGCGCTCATGCGGGCGAGGAGCGCTATCTACGCCACCGAGGACGCCGGGCGCGAGATCTCTTCGCATCGACGCGCAGCATTGCCCGAGCACGACTGGGAGGAGTCGCCTCACGAGTACTGTCTGTTCATGCTGAGGGGCGTGCCCGGCAATTTTATCGGCCACTACGCGCTCACGTTGACGACCGCTTCGCGACGGGCGCGGGCCACGAGGTCGACGGCGTCGTAGAGAAGGTCAAAGTCCAGATGCGCCTGACCTTCAAGCGCGGCAAGTTCAGGCACTGCTGCTACGGGGTCGCGCAGTGCGCCGCGCTCACGACTAATGTCGGCCAGTCGGAGACAGTGGGCGCGCTGGAGTGCATCAACCTCGATCCGCGCTGGAGGGGCCACTCAACTCGCTCCTGGCGCTGGAGGAGATCGCTGGACCACAGAGTGGACTTGGCCCGCTCGGCCGGGTCGCGCGACAGACCTGACCTCGACGATCAGTTCGCGCGTCGCTCGGGGCCCAGTCGATGGGAAACCCGAGGGTTCGCGACACCGTGAATGTCAAATGGCGATCTAGATGGGCAAGGACGACAGCGAATTCAAGGTCACGCTCACGCCCGACCTCCTACTGGGGCAAAGCGATCGCGTTCGGTGGCGGCGACAGTAGCCACGGCAACATCGACGACGATTCTCGTCGAGAAGACCAAGTCGCAGCGTGGTTTTCCTGAGCGCCGCGGCTGATTCGAAGCCACTGGGCGAAGAACCCGCCCGCATCCATGTTTCGGAGTGGGCCAGCGCTACCATCGAGCCAGTTCGCCGTGGATCTCTTCCTGCAGAGGGCAACGGAGTCCTGACGGCGGCCGAGAGCGTGATCGGGAAGGTTGCGGACGCCAGGTTCGCCTGTTCGAACTTCGACCCGCACGTGCATGTCCAGGAGATTGCAGAAGGGACGGGCGCCGATTTTTGTTGACCCTCGAGAAGGACGGCGGCCAGCCTAAGGGGCACAGTGTCCGCACCACAGACACCAGGCTGACGGTGGCCGATGCATTCACCAGAGTCCGAGTGCGGATGTCTATTCGAGCGCACGCCGAAGAAGCGCTGGTGCCCGCCGCCGACCGACGCGCTCCTGGGGCGCCACAGCAAGGCGAGCGGCGAGGCTCGCCGTGCCCGCGGAAGGTTGCCGCCCGCGCGGCGGCCGAACGCAGTGGCTCTGCCGCGCGCGAGCCAGCCTTCGGCGGATGACGGCCCCTCCTCCCCCTCCTCACCCCCTCCTCCTCCTCCTCCTTCTCCTCCTCTTCCTCCTCCTCCTTCTCCTCTTCCTCCTCCTCCTCCTCCTCCTCCTCCTCCTCCCTCCCCTCCTCCTCCTCCTCCTCCTCCTCCTCCTCCTCCTCCTCCTCCTCCTCCTCCTCCTATCCTTTTTCTCCTCCTCCGCCTCCTCCTCCTCCTCCTCCTCCTCCTCCTCCTCCTCCTCCTCCTCCTCCTCCTCCTCCTCCTCTCCCTGCCTGGTCGCCACGTCAAATCACACCCTTTTCCCTCGTCGACCAGCCGCCGCCAGCCGCCGCCTTTCCGCATCGCTGCATCCAGCGAGAAGCTTCCCAGTGGATGCAAAGGGGTGAGAAATATTACGTGGTTTGATTGTTTGGGTTACGTATGATATGCGTACCTTGCCGCCCTATACTGGTCCGCAGGGCGCCCGTTCAGGTTCAGCATGCCCCGGCCGGGGCACCAAGAGTTTACGACCATGTCGTGCGTTGGTTCTCTCCATCCAGGATGCCTGCCTTTTGGGGCGCTTGTGCGGCCAATAAGTCGGCCAACGCTTGGCCGAGACATTGGACTATATGCCCCCCCCGACGTTGATCGAACCCTTTGTGGGAAACTCTGGGGAGATAGACAGAGGGAGGGATCAGAGGACAATGGTGTCAGGGATGATACTTGTCGTGCCCGCTTGGGGCCTTCTGGCGTCACTGAGGAGCGAGGAGGAGGAGGAGGAGGCGGAGGAGGAGGAGGAGGAGGAGGGGCTCTGAGGGGTCTCTTGGGGTCTTCTGGGGGCCCCCTGGGCGGACTCCTCTTGGCCTCCGTCACCCGGCCCGGCCGCGCCCTCGCCTCCCTTCCCCCCTCCTCCTCCGCCTCCTCCTCCGCCTCCTCGTCCTCCTTTTCCTTTTTCTGCTCCTCCTCCTCCTCCTTCTCCTCCTCCTCCCCCTCCTCCTCCTTTTCCTCCTCCTCCGCCTCCTCCTCCTTTTCCTCCTCCTCCCCCTCCTCCTCCTTATCCTCCCCCTCCCCCTCCTCCTCCTTATCCTTTTCCTCTCCGTTCCTCTCCTCCGTCACCCGGCCCGGCAGCGCTCCTGCCCCCTTTTCCCCCCGTGGCGCGGCGAGATGCAGATGCGCAACCTGAAGCTCAAGCTGATCGCTGGCCTGTGCGCCACGGCGGTCGCTGCCCCCCTCCGCCCCCTCCTCAAAAGTTTGGACGCCCGAAGTGGGTACGGAAAGAATGGGTACAATGCCCAACAGCAGTTCCTGTTCATTCTGAACAGGACTCGCTGTCGGTGTCGCCGCGGCCTGTGTCCATTTGAAACAGAAGGCCGCCTGCCCAACAGCGGCCGCTGTAGGTTTGGGACAACATTTGTTGTTGGGCATTGTACCCATTGTTTCCGTGCCCATTTCGGGCGTCCAAAAAAAGGCAGGGTTCGTTTCGATTCCTCCGCTTCGGTTCGATTCGATTTGTTGATGGTTTCCGATTCCGATTCGATTCGACTTTGGATTCCGATCTGGGTTCTGCTGTCTCAAACTGAGGCCTACTAGCCTGCCGATCTCCGCCGATTCGACGTTTCCCGACTCGGCTGCCGATTTCCGCCGATCCAATTCATTTCGATCGCCGATCCGTCTTGTCGATTCGATCCTGGGTTCTTCCTGCCTCCCCCCCCCAAAGGAGGGAGGGCGGGAACTCGGAGGGAGGACCTCCCCAAGGAGGGAGGGCGGGGACAAGGGAGGGAGGACCCCCACGTCCTCTCGGCGGGCGACGGCAATTAGAAGCGAGGCTGCCCAGGGGGGAGCAATCCATGTGTCCAGGGGCGCCGATGGTTCATGCCTTGGGCGATGCTCCCCGGCGGGATGCGTGTAAAGTTCGCCCCCGGGCTGTTCGCCCCTCTCGTCTCTAGGCCTCCCAGATGGGGTCGGAGCAGATGTGGTCGGTGGATCCCGCCGCATCGCCGATGCATCGACGATGCGGCTCGATGCGGAGACCGTGTTCCCACACGCCGACGTCGCCGATGCAACGCCGACGTCGCCGATGCATCGCCGATGCATCGCCGACGCATCGCCGATGCATCGGGATGCATTGGCGATGCGGCGCGATCCTTCGACCGCATCTACTTGGACCTCATCTAGGAGGCCTCTATCGTCGCCGCCGATCCTGCTGTTGTGAACAACTCACACTGGACGTTTTTTGTTTGTGGGGGGGAGGTGCCCGCCCATGGGGCCCGGAGGACACCAGAGGGCGGGGCGGAGCGGGGCCACTGCCCGGGGAAGGGACGCGGGGGCGGCAGCCCCCGCCCGCCCCGCCCCCCCCCCCCTTCCCAGGGACGAGGGCGGGCACAGGGGGGATCCGAGCACAGCATATGACTACAGTACCGTTTTTAATACATGCTCCGCGTGCGGATCATGTATGAAAAGATGCAGGGATTTAGTATTAAAAACAACGATGAGTTCATGCATAAATGTATTCAGACATTAACCATGTATTAACAATTGCCCTATACCACCACCAATGTTTAAACCTATGTATTAACAATGCCCTGTACCACCACCAAGATTGAGAATAATATATGATGCTATTTGGTGCCGTTTTGCTCTGGCGAGAAGCCCGTTGCCCACCTCCCGCCGCCAACGGCAAACGGGCTGCCGCCTCTCTCTTAAGGGCCGAAGCAGGATTCATCAAAGCACGCGCGGTGGTGGTGTACAAAATTTTGGTTACCAAGAGGAGCGATTTTAATACACCACCAAGAAGTGCTGTTTCTGCTCCAGGAACTCCCCATGCCGCGCAGCCTGCGAGCTGCGCCGCGCTCCTTTTCGCCGTGGCGTCGCAGCGGCGTCTGGCATGACCCTGCCCCTAACCCTTTCTGCGGTAATTTACTGTTGCGGGCGGTGGTGGTGTATAGAAATTGGCCTCGCAGGGGAGCCTCCAAGAATGGTGGGTGACGATTTGTCGTGCTCTTTTCTGCCAGTTCCTAGCATTTTCTGCCTATATTTCTTCGCTCTCTGCCAAAATCCGCCTGCAGGAGGACATGCCCGACCGAACTCCGGGCCTCTCAGATGGGGTCAGACCATCTGGGGTCGGTGGGTCGCGCCGTATCGCCGAGAGGGTGCAACTCGATGTGGAGGCCGACTTTCGCCACGCTGGCGCCGCCGATGCGTCGGCAGCGAGGCGCGAGGCTCCGACCCCCCTGTGCTCGGACCCCGTCTGGGCGGCCTCTCATCCTCCCCGTGTGGGGAAATCACGACGGGAGGTTTTTGGGGAGTGTTCCTCCTCCGTGGAGCTTCTCCGGGCCACGGAGCCGTCAAGAACGGGGAGGGCGGGGGTCCGCATTGAGAGGAAACCGCGACGTTGGAGATTCGGGGAGGGGGGAGGAGAGACCGAACGATCGGGGGTGTGGCCGAAAGGGGAGTGATGACTAGGGGGTGGGTGTCATGGCAGCGGCCATTGAGATCTCTCCAGATCTCATGGCCCCTCTTCTCCACTCAATGCGTCCCCTGGCCATGGTTTGCGCCCCCCCCTCTTGGACTCTCCCCCAGTAGACGCCCCCGAAAAGAGAGAGAGAGAGAGACAGAGACAGAGACAGAGACAGAGAGAGGTAGAGAGAGAGAGAAAGAACGGGAGGTCGGATCATCTAAGGTAAACTAACCCCTAGCCCTGAGGTCAGAATGAATGCGTAGCCTGACTTGGGTGTCCGCCTGCGCACTCGGGGTCACCTCTCCGGGTGGTTGAGGTCAACCCGTTTGCTGGCAAGAACCCTCTTCCCCCTGATGTTGTTGTTGTGCCTTTCAACATAGGTCCGCTCCCCAAGGGTTAGGGGTGCTTGTACACCCTAGGCGATGCTTAAGAAAACTTAAGTTTTTGCCCAGAGTCGCGATTATTCTAAATGTTTCAATGTAAATCCTAAGATTTCAACAGACATTCTGGGTTTTTATATTCTGAGACTCTGAGTTTCTTAACCCATGATTTCTTAAGCATTTCGCAGGGTGTAATTGCTAATTATGAGGCGATCGCAAACATGGATCAATGGGGCGTGGATCGTTGGGCCCCGCTTCCGTAGGAAACTGCAGATCTCCGCCGCCGAACGAGGCGGCACCCGGCCGCATTTTGGGGAGGGCACCTCTCCAGATCCAGGGTCCGAGGCGTGGCGCTGCGATGGGATGAGCCCCGCCCCCCTCTTCCCTCCTGCCTCTGGCCTTGCCTCCCTCCCCTCCCCGCTCCTCCTCCCCCCAGGCCCTAGTCTGCAGAGGCGGTGGTTTTGCCGCTGTTCGAGAGATGTGGTCAGGAGCAGTTCACACGTTGTTCGATCGCGTCCCAACCAACCAACCATTGATTTGGCGACCGTGCGCCAAATCCCTGGACCGGGAATCCTCATGAGGGAAAAACCACACAGACACAATTCATCGTCGATTCCCCCGAAAAGATGGGAAACTATGGGAAGTGGGGGGGAAGACACAAATCCAGAGAATATGGGAAAAGATAGGGAGTCCTGTTATTTGCGTGTGTGTAATTTATTCGTGTGTGTTCCAGGTCCCCTTCGAATCCCTGTCTGCGCACCCCCGAAATCCAGGGAGGGGGCGGCGGGACGGTCGCTCCATGGGCCCCTCGTCGTCGTCGGTGCCGTTGGCCGCCCTCGGGGCGGGGCTCCCAAGACGCCCCCCGGGGGGGGGGGGGGGGGCGGGCCGGTGCCCCGGCGTCTGTGCTGCCGGCCCTCGCGGGGGCTCCAGAGCGGCCTCGGGGGCTGTGGTGCTCCAGCCTACTTTAGCCTCGATCACCAGAAAGGAGTTCGAGCGCCCCAAAAAGCTACCGGAGCTCAGGGGTTCACCCGCCCGACACTGTTTCGACACTGCTTCGACACGCTTTTGACACTTTTCCGGGTGCTAGAAATTAGTTCTGGAATTTGGTCCTTAGGTAGGGTGGGAACAACATAACTCGGGGGGAGGGCTGGTGTGAAGTCGGGCATGTCCCTCGACAGAAGGAATCGCCAAAGGCAGTAAAAAGTGTCAGTCTTGGGACGGTCTTTAGACTCTCTTGGGCAGCGCTTAAGTGTCTGTTTTGACTGTGCTGTGTGTCTCTCCCGAACTCCGCCTGTTGGAGGACACGCCCGACCTAAGGTTGGTGCGCCGCGCGGGTCGCCATCCCCCCCTCGACTGTCGGCAGGAGGAGGCGTCCAGCGCCGCAGCGCCGCGAGGGGCCCCCCACGGTGGGGGACCACAGGCGTGGAGCAGGAAGGAGGAGGGAGGGAGGGAGGGGGGGAGGGAGGATAAGGCAGGGTGGGAGGGAGGGAGGAGGAGGAGGGGGAGGACGAGGAGTACGAGGGAGGAGGAGGAGGAGGATCGAGAAGCCCATGCACTTGGGCGTCTTCCAACTCTTTCTTGTTTCTCTCGGGGCGTCCTCGCCGCCAAGGCAGGATCTGCTTCGACCGACTGGGCAGACGCACCCGCAGACAGGTCTGGGGGGTCAGAGGTGTGTCTTCTGAGGGAGGGGGATCGGGAGGAGGAGGAGGAGGTTCATGGCGGAGGATGATCAGGGGATCGCAGACATGGATCAAGGGGGCGTGCATTCGCGACGGGCCCCGTTTCCGTGGGAAATCGCAGATTTCCGCCGCCGAGCGAGGCGGCACCGGCCGCATTTTGGGGGGGGGCACCTCCCCCGACCCATGGATTTGGCGGTCGCGCGCCGCGTGCCAAATCCATGGATCGCTAATCCATGTTTGCGCGCCCCCGAGATGAGGGAGGAAGGAGGTAGGGAGAAGGAGGAAGAGGATCCTGGAGTTATTTTTGTTCAGTGTCTTGCACCGTTGTACTGATCAGATGCGCATTGGGCATCATTGGTGCCTCACTCCTTTGCTGTCACCTCACCTCCTTCTGTCCCCCTGTGCTCTTATCGCCCTCGCCATCATTGTAGCCATCTTCATCATAATCATCATCATCGTCAAACTCCTGAGCACGCATCCCGAGTTTCCTCAGGCATCACCATCACCATCATAATTATCCGTACGGGCTTCGCCCCATGCCGCCAGCCCCCTGTCTCGGATAATGGGAGATGCAAAAGCTAAATCATGAGGTCTGGGCGCCGCCGTGAAGCAGTGTCGGGACCTGTTTGTTTTTGGACCCTGACCCTACGGATCTGCGTCACGGGTGCCACCGAATTTCAGAAATGTAGCAAATCCTTT